CTGGATCAGGGGTATCCAGTCTTTTGGCTCCCCTGGGCCACTCATAAAAAAAAATAACATTAACAGTAGCTGATGAGCTTAAAAAAAAAAGCCAAAAAAATCTGAATGTTTTAAGAAAGCTTACAAATTTGTGTTGACACATTCAAAGCTGTCCTGGGCCACATGTGGCCCATGGCCCACAGATTGAACAGGCTTGCTTTAGATGAAGAGGAAGTAGGTTAAATGATTTCCACAAAAAAAGCCACCAGTTTACTTTTGGTTGCTAAGGGTATGCTTTAAACATAGATATTTCCATTTATCTCCAATTGAATGAACGTTTAGTTCTATTTAAAGATTCAGTTTGGGGCCGGGCGCGGTGGCTCAAGCCTGTAATCCCAGCACTTTGGGAGGCCGAGACGGGCGGATCACGAGGTCAGGAGATCGAGACCATCCTGGGTAACACAGTGAAACCCCGTCTCTACTAAAAATACAAAAACTTAGCCGGGCAAGGTGGCAGGCGCCTGTAGTCCCAGCTACTCGGGAGGCTGAGGCAGGAGAATGGCGTGAACCCGGGAGGCGGAGCTTGCAGTGAGCTGAGATCCGGCCACTGCACTCCAGCCTGGGTGACAGAGCGAGACTCCGTCTCAAAAAAAAATAAAATAAAAAAAATAAAGATTCAGTTTGCATTTATTCAAGATTTTTGGCATTTATTTGTATATTCATAAAATAATTTAGTGGTATATGAGATAGTTGTTCTAAAATATTAAAACCGCCTTTATAGGTTGTACTTACCTTATGGAATTTTACTTTAGCACACTTAAGAAGAACCCCAAGTAAAAAGGCAGACATGAAACTTATTTAGGTTATGAATTTGCTGCTACAGGTTTGCAGCAAGAATGGTTTTTAAAAAACCACCAGATTTAGGAGTTAATATTTTTTTCAGGTGATTTTTTTTTTTTTTTTTTGTAATACTAGACAAAAGATAGGTCCAATTGTTTGTCATTTCTTTCCAGCAGGAAAAACTTTAGAAATAACTATGAAGGAAAGAACTTGTGAAGTCCCCATGTGAAGTTCTTCACTTTTAAAGTGCTTTCTTTTCATGTCATGGTAAAATTGGACCAATTGAATTTACACTTTGTAAAATTCACTCACCGTAGCATTGATATTGCTTTCATTACTACCGCTTTTTATTTTCATTTTTTAAAATATGTAGAGTGATAAATGAAATATGTTTGTTTATATCTAACATTAGAAACTTTCTGGGATGCTAAGAATGACTGAACAGGATGTGTGGCGCTCCCTAGTGTTTTGTTCATGTATTTTTTATTTTCCTCAAACTGATGATTCTTCTGAGAACATCTTGATAATTAGTTTTATACTTATTAAAAGAATAGGAAATAGAAATGATTTACATAGTGTAAATATACATATGGTTGGCCACTCATGAATTGTATAAAATATATCAGCTACGTTTTTTAAAGGTGCCAAATTGTTCATAATATTCAGATGTTTAACATTTTAGGAAATTTATGTCTCATACAACTAAAAATTTTGAATTATAGCACTTTTACATATTTACCAAAGTAGTTTAAATGGGAATTTGCAAAGCAGTACATGGTTTTGATTTTATAGTATGCTTCAGATTAAGTAAATATGAACTACCACTTTGTAGCCTTAAGAATGGTGTGGCTCATGGAATTCGTTGTGGCGTTATTGTAGCAACTAAGTTAAGAATTTTTCCCCTTTATTATTTTGACGCAACATCCCATTTTCATTGAACTTAAATGTTGAGACACAGTATTAGATTTGTGGGCCACATAGTGACATATTGGTAAATGACAGACTACATACACAATGGTGGTCCTGTTAAATCATATACTACCTCTATGTTTAGATATACAAATACTTAGCATTGTGTTACAGTTGCCTACAGTATTCAGTACAGTAACATGTTATAAGAGTTTCTAGCCTAGGAGCAATAGGCTGTGTATACCATAATAGCCTAGATGTGTAGTAGACTATAACCATCCAGGTTTGTGTAAGTGCATTCTATGATACACAATGATGATATCTCCTGATGACACAACTCTCAGAACATACGGTCATTAAATGACACATGACTGTGTTTTATGTGCCCTTAAGAGTGAAAAGAAAAAAAAAATCTAAATGGAAAATCTGAAACACTCAACAGATAACGTTGAGACACCTCTTCATGGAAAGAAGAAGTATACCTACCGTGACAGAGGAGAGAGCAAAGACATTTGAATGTTTTAACTCTTTTATTATTGGGATGAGGGAGGAAAAAATCACTTTTGAGGATTTGAGCCATAGCCAATTCTCCTAAGTTTGCATCTTGTATTCCCATTAACAGTAAGTGTTAATAGATAGCTTAGAAACTTTTAATGGTCTCAGATTGATGGTGCTGCCAAAGTGACTGGCATAAATCAACACAATTTCTTTAAAAGATTTAGCTTCAAAGAAAGAGATTATAAAAAGTATCTCTATGTTATGTATATCCTAGAATTAGTAGAGAATGAGAATCATAACATCGCCACAAAGTAGATTTTTTAGACTTGGAAAAACAGACTTAGGGATTCTCAGTCCTCTAAAGGAACTCTAAATTTCTTAAATTCTTACAGTAGTTTTTCCTACAGAATACAGTATTTTGCATGTTTATTGTTTTGTTCTTTGGTTTTATGTTGACATCACAGTTTTGGTTTAAATTACATTAATGATTGATTTACTTTCAGGATATTCAGTTGTATGTAATTTAGGACTTGCAGATTGTCAGGTAAAACAAGATTAACTAGTCTTCACCCCCAGAATTTACGGAGATACGAAGGGAGAATGTAGCTTTTTGACATTAAATCTCATTCTATAATAAATACCATGATTTCCATTCTAAAAGAACATTTCTGAGGTGTTTAAACATTTTAGGTATGGGAAGAAGGTCAATTAAAGAGAACTATGTCAAACTCTGTATGTTCTTTAGTGATTTTCAAATACTGCCTGCTGTAAGTCTCATTGGCCTGGTCTACTAAACTCTTATATATTGGTTTTTATGTGGCTTTGTTTTTAAGTAAGATTTTATCTTTATATGTGTGATAAAGTCAGGATATTTCAATTTGAAATTACATTTATTTGTACAGTCTGCTACTGCCATGAGAGAATGTTCTTTTTTTGAGACGGAGTCTCTCTCTGTTGCCCAGGCTGGAGTGCAGTGGCGCCATCTCAGCTCACTGCAGCCTCCACCTCTCATCCTCAGCCTCCCAAGTAGCTGGGACTACAGGCACGTGCCACCATGCCTGGCTAATTTTTTGTATTTTTAGTAGAGATGGGGTTTCACGGTAGCCAGGAAGATCTTGGTCTCCTGACATCGTGTTCCGCCTGCATTGGCCTCCCAAAGTGCTGGGATTACAGGAGTGAGCCACCGTGCCCAGCGAGAGAATGTTCTGTTGCTTTATGCAGATTTTACTCTACTTTAAAAAAAATACCTTTAATTCTTAGGAGAAGTTACTTTGATTGGTTTTTCTCTTAAGTTTTCAGGCCTTGATCTGTCAATTTAGCTTAGAATTCTAGTGTTGGTTATGTTACTAGCTTTTGATTTTATATATAGGTTACTTAAAGTAGCAGGCTGTTTCTATGTTGCCTGTCATGTATTTTGGTTGTTTTCCAATGCAACCAGTTACCTGATTCAGCGTATTTTACATTGGCCTAAAGCAAAATTACGAGGGTATATCTATTGGCTGGAGATGTATGGGCTGGGAGTAAGCCTAGTTATAGTTCTTTCTAATTTGATTGTTGTGTTTTTTCTCCTTACCTTGTAAATTATTTTTCTGATTCTCAGTCTGGATGATGGAGGCTTGCCAGTGCTTCGGTTTTCAAATTCTGTACCTTAAAAAAAATACGTACTATTTGGATCATATTCCAAGTCAGCCACCACATTCTTATAGTCACAATTTTTGTCAAAAAGTTTTGTTTAATGATGTTTAGACAGTTTATTGGTTGTTTTTAACCCGTTAACTCCATGCTACTTTATTTTAATAGGTACCTTAGCCTCATTTAGCTTCATGGGTCACTTTCACAAGGAATACAGTTCAGTGTGTGAATGTTCTTACATAACTTTAGAAGGCTTGAATCTGTATGTTCCTGCTGACCATATGCTTATTTTCTGTTGTTCCTATTTCTCAAAATGTTCATTTACTTTGAAATTGTTTAATAACTGGTTACCTTGTTCCAGTACCTGTGATTATTGTATGTAATTTTTGTCCCCTTCTGAATTTCCTTAGATCTTTTTAATGGTCATTAAAATCAAAATTGTGATGTGGGATTATACTAATATAGAGGAGCATTGGGTCAAATTCTTCAGAAACTTATGTTAATCTTCAGGATTTATATTCAGACTTAATAGAATTGATTCATAGATTTGAATGGTAGTTGTTGATAAACTAAATTGAGCTCCCAAACTAATATCTTCAGATATTTATGTATGTGCCTTAAGTTTTCTGTACATGAGAGGGGATAGATGACTTGTGATTTAAAAAGGGTTTTTTTAAATGTATTTTTTTAGGTCATTGTTTGGATATTAGCACCTTTGATCTAGGATTTTGAAATGTGCCACATTATAAAATTTATTCAGTACATGTATTAAAAATCAAAGGTGAAAAATACTGAAAAAATTTTATGTTAAATTCTCTTGCTCCAAAGAAGTGAGAAAAATATGACTGTTGTGTTACAACTAAAAGGAAATTAATGTTTTTTTAAATTCAGGCTAGAAATAACGTAATAGTCCAAACTTATTAAATTTACTTGTTAAAATAATTTTGACCGTATATATAAAAACTGTGACATAAGTATTAAAATAGATTATTGATAAAGTACTTCATTCATTCAACAAGCACTTACTAAGCATACTATTCACATGGTATAGTGTTTAGTGGTTTTTAATCTTAAGTTATGGGATTCTTGAAGTCATATTAAGTGCTTTGGTTTTATAGTAACCTTTTTTACTTTTATTTTAGATGCCTGGAATGATGTCGTCAGTAATGCCTGGAATGATGATGTCTCATATGTCTCAGGCTTCCATGCAGCCTGCCTTACCGGTAATCATGTGAAAATAACTATTTTCTGTGAAGTAATGTTTTGATTGATTGCTTTTATATATGGAATAATAATACCTATATACTTGATAGGCAATCATGTTAGCCGTTGAAGTGCCTGTGTAGTACTGTAATAAAATACGAGAATTACTGTGGACTTTCAGTTTCTTTTCTTTTCTTTGTATTTTTGAGACAGAGTCTTGCTCTGTCAACCAGTCTGGAGTGCAGTGAGTGACATGATAACAGCTCACTACAGCCTCAACCTTCCGGGCTCAAGCAATCCTCCAACCTCAGCCTTCTGAGTAGCTGAGACCACAGGCACGTGCCACCACGCCGAGCTAATTTTAAATTTTTTTTATAGAGATGAGGTCTCCCTGTGTTGCCCAAGCTGGTCTCAAACTCCTGAGCTCAAATTATCCTCCTGCCTTGGCCTCCCACAGGGATGACAGGCATGAGCCACTGTGCTCGTCCTGGATTTAGTTTCTGTAACTTCAATGATAGGCATTTAGATTTTTTCCTATATTGATATTATATGTACATTCTTAATTATTAGGTTAATTCTGTATTAAGACCAGAATACTGAAAAGTATACAATGTGAGCCAGAAACATTTTATTGGTCTGATAACATGTAAGTTTTAAAGGGTAAACATTTACTTCACTGAGTGCTAATTAAAAGTTGGTATAATATGATTTAATACTAGATTTAGAAATCAAGATTTAATTGGAAATCCACATTCTGAGACTTCAGCTGTGGCAAATTAATTAGAAAATCTATTAAACAGCCTTACCACCTCTATCGGGTAGTATAGTAATATAAATTATTACGAAATTCAAGTTTAACTTCTTTATTCTTTATGTGGTTGTAATGAACAGATGTGACATACTCCCTTGAGGTGGTAAGTTTGCAATGTCTTTCCCAAAATCCTAAGACGAGATATATTTCAAAAATTCTTTATAATACTGGAAAGTAACACATTGCATATAATATGTAAACATTTCCTGCGAGGTCCAGGGCAATGCCATCTAACTTAATAATGTTAGTATTTTTGCAGCTAAACTAAACTGAAGTGGGATAAATGAAGTTTGTGGAGTTTCATGTTCATTTAGGGCAGGTTTTGCCACTGTAGTGAGTTTTGGTACCATACTTGAAAAAAGTTGGTTTTCAGAGGGTTTTGGTTTCCAGAATTGTGGGTAAAGCGTTGAGGACCTTGTGTATACTTGGTGACCATATAACATTTAAACTACTCCCGTAGCCTCAGTTTGCTTATCTCCTTTACAATTTATAGCAAGCTCGGGGAACTGAGACCACTAAAAGTTTCGCTAAGAATCTTTGAGTCACAGGCTTGAGGATTATACATAGCAGGTACTGATTTCACTATGCTTTATGAGGAACTTATATAAAATACACTTTAAAAGAGATGAATAACACTAATTTCATTTTTCTTCTTACAGCCAGGAGTAAATAGTATGGATGTAGCAGCAGGTATGTATACTATGTATGGTGGTATGTGTTAGACCTCATTTGGACAGTAGCAGCCCTATTATAATGAGGAGTAAAAAAAGCAGGATCTCTTGGACTTTATATAACCTCCTTTTTCTTTTTTCCGCAATAGGAAACTGGGATAGCGTTGACAATTGAAGTCTTTTTGTTGTTGTTGTTTTGAGATGGAGTCTCGCTCTGTCACCCAGGCTGGAGTAAGTGGCAATCTCGGCTCACTGCAGCCTCCGCCTCCTGGGTTCAAGCGATTCTCCTGCCTTAGCCTCTCAAGTAACTGGGACTACAGGTGCACGTCTGGCTAATTTTTGTATTTTGGTAGAGACCGGGTTTCATCATATTGGCAAGACTGGTCTCGAACTCCTGACCTTGTGATCCGCCCACTTCGGTCTCCCAAAGTGCTGGGATTACAGGCGTGAGCCACCGCGCCCGGCGATAATTGAATTCTTAGGAAATTTTTACAGTTTTAGGTCAGGAGTTCTGGACCCAATTAGGTCTGCAGATATTCTTTGGCCCACACAATGTTCTTCAATTTTGTAATTATTGCTAACATTTGTAGTCTGCAGATTTTGAGTTTGAATTTATTTTGAAAAGTTGGATGATCTGACTATTCAATACTTAACAGTAGTCCTGTCAACACAGTAAGTGCTCGGAGAGTATATGTTAAATGAACTCTGGTTGAGTTCATATTTGTACTCAGCAAGCATTAGAATGACGTAGTGACTCCATTCTGTAGTATGAGCTCTCCTTGGCATTCTAGACTACTTCAGAGTTAGTTTTCTGTCATCTCCTTGGCCCTTGTATTGATAGCCATTGGAGTAAATATCAGTTCCCAATAACTGGCCATTTTGACTCATAAGATTTTAATATATATTAATAATGCCTCCAGTATCATGAATACATAGCTGTCCACATAAATTAATATTCCAGATGCCGAACTTCATCCCACGATTATGACAAGATTGTGTTCTGTTATAAACAGTATTGGTTGAAAGGTGTTGAAAATGTACTGTGTGCTTTTCTCTGGGTTCAAATGGGACTTAATTGATTTTTTGAAGATATTTCACAGATTTCATTATTTAAACTAAAATGTTCTGAAATACCTAATACAATTATTTTCTTTTATTTAGATATCTAGAGCTGGGTACTGTTACCCTCAGTAATCCTGGAAAATTACATAATTTTTGTTTTTAGTTACTTTTAAAATGCTTTGGCTCTACAGTGATTTTCTATACTAGCTTCTTTTGAGTGTACTCAGTATATACAAACTTAGTTTTGTTTTGTTTTACATACAATCTCCGTCTTTATTTTATTTACATGTTTAAATTACTAGTTTCTAAAGTTTAAGATTATTATTAGGAGTTTTGTGACTAACATGCATTTCAAAATCTCTTAAGGAGTTTTCTGTAGTAGTATAGAGGACAGTAACATCCAATAGAACTTTCTGCAGTGATGGAAATGTTCTGTAATCTGTACTGCTTAATACAGTAGCCACTAGACACATGTAATTATTGTGTATTTGAAATGTGGCTGGTGCAACTGAGTAACTGAATTTTCTAAATTTTATTTAATCTTAAATTTTAATTTAAAGGGATGTCTGGTGTCTGATCGCTGTTGTGTTGTACAGCACAAATCTGGAATTCAGATAAAGTTATCAGGAATCTAAAGCTGTAGAATCAGTGGTAGAGGCATTATTGTGCTTTGGTAATATACTTAGTAGAGAAAGAGGAATAAGAAACATAGTCACCTATTATAGTAAGGAAAGGAGAAATAAAAGGCAATGTTGAATACTTCTCAGACTGCCTCCAAGTGAGTTTGTAGATTGAAAGTTCAAACTCTGAGAATGTTTTGCACTATAGATGTTTATTTTGTGGGAAAGATAGCTAGCACATAGTTCATATGAGATAGTCTCAAAATCTTGAGGATGAGGAGGAATAAGTACTATGAATATATGAATAAATATTAAAACTTATGAAGGAGAGCATGATTTATCATGGTGTAAATACTTTGCCTGTTTTTTATTTTTTAGGTACAGCATCTGGTGCAGTAAGTACTCTTTAAACGTTTGTAATATTTTAATTTTAGTATACTTTAACCTACTTTACAATTATTCTTTTTTCTGCTCTAAGGATTATCTGCTAAGTCTTTGCATTAATCCATAGTTTTCCCTTTTCCCTTTTTTTCTATGATAAGGATTGAAAAATTTATTTATTTTAAAATCTAGTTTCGGTGGGGCTTAATGAGAGATGAGAATCATACGTATCAACTTTTAAAAGGATTTAAATTCTTCCCATCACATTTAGAAGGGAAGCAGAACTTGTAGGTGCACAGTACTTAACCTAGTAATTACAAATTAAGCATTACATTAGGAGATAATCTTTTTTTTTTTTTTTTTTTTGAGACAGAGTCTCGCTCTGTCACTAAGACTGGAGTGCAGTGGTGCGATCTTAGCTCGCTGCAGTCTCCGCCTCCTGGGTTCAAGTGATTTTCATGTCTCAGCCTCCTGAGTAGCTGGGCCTACAGGCACCTGCCAGCATCCCTGACTAATTTTTGTATTTTTAGTAGAGGCGGGGTTTTGCCATGTTGGCCCGGCTGATCTTGAACTCCTGGCCTCAAGTGATCTGACTGCCTTAGCTTCCCAAAGTGCTGGGATTACAGGCGTGAGCCACAGTGCCCGAGAGATGTTAGGCGATAATTTTATTTTTTTAATGTATATATATATGGATAGGAAAATTTATGTACCTTAATTTAAAAACATTTTTGCTATTTTGCTATTCCTTAAAGATCAATGAAAGGAAGAGTTTTGTTTATAATCTCATTTAATCATAATGTTCCTGAGAGGTAGCTGCTATGCTACTGTTACAGTTAACAGAATTGATTGCAAATGTTGTTTTTCGCATTTGGAGAGAAGATTTTAAATTAAGAATTTTATTTAAATGCTTTAAAAACATTCTTGTGTCTTTTGCCTTAAAAGTTGAATGGTTGCAAAATATCCCTTTGGGTTTTTTTTGTTTGTTTGTTTTTCTGAGACAGAGTCTTACTCTGTTGCCCAGGCTGGAGTGCAGTGGCTCAATCTTGGCTAACTGCAACCTCCACCTCCCGGGTTCAAGCGATTCTCCTGCCTCAGCCTCTTGAGTAGCTGGGACAACAGGCATGTGCCACCATGTCCGGCTAATTTTTGTATTTTGTAGAGATGGGGTTTCACCATGTTGCCCAGGATGGTCTTGAACTCCTGTCCTCAAGTGATCCGCCACCTCGACCTCCCAAAGTGCTGGGATTTCAGGCATGAGCCACTACGCCCAGCCCATTTGGTATTATTCTACTATAAGTACCTGCTTTTATTTTTGAAAAAGGATAACTTAATGGTTTTTTTTTTTCTTATTTAAATAATGCAGGCTCATTGGGAGGAAAACAAAGCAGACATAAGTTAAAAAGGAAGTAAAATTCATCCTTAATTTTTGGACCATGAGGGAACCACCACCATTAATACCTTAGCTGAAGATCTTTTTGTGTGTTACTTAAGCATAGACAAATACATACACATTTTACATAATTGGTTCATGTTATATGTGCTTAAGTTATTTGTTAAATACACTTTTTCTTGTTTAAAAGTTTTTTGTGAAAATCTGTGTAAGTTCCTTAATGTAGGTGTAATTTTTTAAATGACTTTATAAAGTATTCTTTGGCATAGAGACACATTAAACCATTCACTTATTAATGGAAATTCTGTTTACATCTAGGATCCCCTCCCAATTATGAACAATTTTTTTTTTTTACACCTAAGAAAGATTCCAGGAATAACATTCGGGACGGATCGTGTGTAACTAGTCATGTTGTTTTTCAAGAATATAAAAAGACATATCTACTAATGGTGTAGTACCATGTCTTTTTCTTCAAGAATCTCTAGCAGCAATAGCCAGTATCACTCATTTGAATTTTAGTGAGTGGACATGGGTTTAAAGTGATAGTTTTTCTTTGATTCTTAATGAGATTGAACATTTTATTTGGTATTTGGATTTCTCTTCTGTTAACCTGTCCCTGTCCTTTCCTGTTTTTAGGTTGGGTTATTTTTTATTTTTTCCTGTAAAATTCGTTTTAAGAGTTTTTCAAATGTTATTGATGTTAACCCTTTAATAATCATGAATTTCAGATATTTTTCTTAGTCATTGGTCTGTTGATTTTGCTTTTAATGATCTTGCCACATAACCTTTTAGTATGTTAATGTAGTAATTAGATAGGTTATCTCTTTTAGCTGATGAGTTTATTGAAATTTTTACAAAAGTTTCCTCATTGTATTTTCTTGGAAGATTCTCATTGCTTTTTTTTTAAATCATTAAGTGTTTGATTCATCTGGAATATCTGTCTATAAGATGGATAGCCAGTTGTGTCAGCTATCAAACCAGTTTTTCTGACTTTAATTGAAAGCTCTTTATTGTCATATTTAAATTCTCACGTATTCTGGGATTTATCTCTGTGTTTCCTTTTCCACTGTTTATTTCTATTTGTGTATTTCTAAACCAATATTAATACTTTTCCTGGCCAGATGCAGTGGCTCATGCCTGTAATCTTAGCACTTTAGGAGGCTGAAGTGGTAGGATTTCTTGAGCCCAGGAGTTTGAGACCAGCCTGGGTAACATGGTGAAACCCCATCTCTACAAAAATACAAAAATTAGCCAGGCATGGTGGCATACTCCTGTAGTCCCAGCTCCTTGGGAGGCTAAGGTAGGAGAATTGCGTGAGCCCAGGAAGATTGAGCCTGCAGTGAGCCGAAATCATGCCACCACCACACATTAGCAGGGAGACCCCATCTCAAAATAAAAAACCCACAAATTTCTTTATTAAGGGATATGTTTTTCTTGGTTTCCAGACATGAGACTTTGTTTAAAAAATAGATACTGTTTTTTTAGAGCAGTTTTTGGTTCATAGCAAAATTGAGTGGATAGTAGAGTTCCCAGATTATTACCCCCCACAAAGAACTTGCTGTCTGGCACTGTCAGCATGTCACACCAGATTGGTACATATGTTACAATTGATGAATATACAATGACAAATTGTTACCATCCAAAGTACAGTTTATATCAGGGTTCACTGTTAATATTGTACATCCTATATATTTTGACAAATGTATAATGAATATGTATGTATCAGCCATTGCAGTATCACACAGAATAGTTTCATTACCCTAAAAATCAGTGCTCTGCCTGTTCATTTCTTGTTGCTCTATTCCAGCAACCATTTTTTTTCTGCCTTCATAGTTTTGCTTTTCTAAGAATTTCATATAGTTGGAATCATACAGTATTTAGCCTTTTCAGATTGGCTTCTTAGTAATATGCATTTAAGGTTCCTCCATTGTCTTTTTATGGCTTGATACTTCGTTTGTTTTTCTCACTGAATTATACTCCATTATCTGGGTGTACCACACTTTATCCATTCATGTACTGAAGAACATTTTGGTTGTTCCCCAGATTTGGTCATTATGAGTAAAGCTGCTATAAACATACATGTACAGATTTTCTGTGTGTACATAAGTTTTCAACTAATTTGGGTAGATATTAATGAGGAGCACTGTTGCTGGATTGTGTAGTAAGAGTGTGTTTAGTTTCGTTAAGAAACCTTGAAATCGTCTTCCAAAGTGGCTGTACCACTCTGACTTCCTAACAGCAATGAATGAGAATTCCTGTTGTACCACACCTTCACCAGCATTTGATATCAGCGTTTTGGATTTTTCATTTTAATAGGTGTATAATGTATCTGGCTTTAATTTGTGGCTAATTGTATGTGATGTGGAGCATCTTTATTGGCTATCTTTACATTTTTGGGAAAGTGTTTCTTTGGATCTTTTGCCTATTTTTTAATCCGATTGTTTTTTTATTGTAGAGTTTTAAGATAACTGGTTTTTATCAGATAAGTCTTTTGCAACTATTTTCTCCCAGTTTGTGGCTTATCTTCTCATTCTTCAGATTAACAGAGCAGAAGTTTCTAATTTTAATGAAAACTAAATTTGTTATTTCAGCCCATCAATTATTTCATGGATTATACCTTTGGGGAACTTTTTTTTATGAGCTATCCTTATTGCATTATGATCAGAAAGTACAGTCTCTAAGATGTAAAGTTCTTTACAGTTTATTAAAGCTTCATATATGTTGTCGTTCAGGGCTAGTTTTTAAGAATATTCTGTGTGCTATATAAAGTTACTTTGTTATTCCTGCATCTTGGCATGTCTTTCATCTGCTTGGATCTACATAAGAAGATAGCGAATTAAAATCTTTAGCTAGAAAAGATGAGTCATCTCTTTCTCCCTGTATTTTTCTGTTGCTTCTCTCTGAATTTCAAGGTTAAATTGCCATATGCCTATGTGTTTAGGTAATTTTTCATCTGTTACTTTTTACCAGTATATAGTCTCCCACTTTTCCATTATGATTTTTGTTTTAACTTCTGCTTAGATAAGGTAAATAGGTACCCTATTTTTAAAGTTTGTTTGCTTTGTAAAAATGTGTTACAAGCCTGGGCAACAAAGTGAGACCCTGTCTCTACAAAAAAATAAAAAATTAGCTGAGCATAGTGGTGTGTGTCTGTAGTCCCAGCTACTCAGGAGGCTCAGGAGGGAGGATCTTTTGAGCCCAGAAGCTTGAGGCTGCAGTGAGCTGTGATCATGCCACTACACTCCTGCCTGGGCAACAGAGTGAGACCCTTTCCCAAAAAAAAGAAAAAAAATGTTACATTGTGAGTACAGAATTTTTCCTATGTTTATTTTAACCTAGTTATCATCTATGCAGATTATTTTGTGTATTTGTCTTGTGACCAATGACATTACCAGATTTCCTTATCAGTTCAAATAGTATTTAAAAACTGTAATTAGATTTCACTGGAATTTTATATATATATAAAAATAGCAGTAAAGGCAAGAGAACTTTACTTCTCCAAAATTTGCACCAGTAATTTCATTTTATTGCTGTGGTATATTTGCCAGAATTTTAGTGATTCCAGGTGTGCTTTTGTGATTTTAATGGAAGTGGCTTTAGGGTGATAACTGATTGCCTTTTATCATTTAGGTTTTTTATTTCTTAAATTATTTCATTTGAGCATTTTGGTTTTTTTATTTTTTGAATACTTGTGAACTTAGTTTTCTGGGTGTGATTTGATCATACCATAGTGGAATCACATACTTGTTTTTTTATTTGATTAGATAATGGAAATAATTTCTTCTGTAGATTTTCTAATATTGAACTACTCTTGTACTACAGTAAATTCTGCTTGGTCAGAGTGTATATGTTGTTAAATTTACATTCATGATGCTCTTCTGGTATCTTTTCTGTTTCTTTTTAATTAATGGAGAGCTTTTCATCTTTTTCCCCCTAAAATCTGAAATCCCGATATAAAATTGCAATTCTGTGTTCTTTAAAGGTTGTATAACATTCTGCTGTGAAACCATCTGGTTTTGTATCTTTCTCTTGTTTCTGTGTTGTTGGGATGTTCAAGTGTGATGTGCTTTTTCTGGGGTGAATTTTGGTAAAGTGGTTTGCTTGGAAATCATTTTCTCTAGGTTTTGATTGTTTTTAAATCTGTATCTGTGATTCTATTTTTCCTCAATTCTGATTATTATTTGGCTTTTTCTTTTTCTTTGCTTTTTTTTTTTTGAGACAGAGTTTTGCTCTTGGTGCCCAAGCTGGAGTGCAATGGCACAATCTTGGCTTACTGCAACCTCTGCCTCCCGGGTTCAAGTGATTCTCCTGCCTCAGCCTCCCGAGCAGCTGGGATTACAGGCGTGCGCCACCACGCCTAGCTAATTTTTTATGTTTTCAGTACAGTAGAAATGGAGTTTCACCATGTTAGCCAGGCTGGTCTCGAACTCCTGACCTCAGGTGATTTTCCCGCCTCGGCCTCCCAAAATGCTGAGATTACAGGCAGAAGCCACCAAGCCTAGCCAGCTTTTTAATATTTTCCTTATTTAGAGTAGTAAGGGGATTTTTCTATTTATTCAGTGTTTGGAATTTAGCCATTTTTTCCTAGTTTTCATAAATTCAGCTTATACATTGTACAAATGTGTGTGTATATGTGTTTGTCTCCATGACACATAGAAGGTTGAGTTTGAATATATTTATTGAATTTCTTTAAAACCTTCTTTGTGTCTTATTGACTAGCTTTTTCTGAACCTGAAGAGCTTATTACTTGTGATAGTTATATGTGCATGCTTTTTTCCTTATGCCCAGTTTTCTTTGCATTTCAAATGATTTTTCTGTATATATTTTTGCCACTGTATCATTTGGCACTGTATTTTAGACATTTTCTATTTTATTATAAATAAGATAATCAGTAATATGAATGGACCATAATTGACCTGTTTTCCTATGGGTGGACATTGAGTTAACTGTAATTCTTCACCATTACACGTAATGATCTTGTAAACAACGTCCTTGTACGTATTTGCAACAATATGAATAGAAGTTTTCAGAGTGAAATTTCAGGTTCAAGTAAGTGGTGATGTTTGCATTTTTAATATCTGTAAGAACTGCTGAATTGCCTTTATGCTAATTTCATTCCCAGCGGTAGCACGTGAAAATACCCTTTTTCTCACACTTCTTTCACATTGTATATTAATGGTCTTTGTCATTTATCTGATGATTAGAAAGTTTTCATTAATGTGTGGTTTTTTGATTGGCTAGTGAAGTTGAACATCTAATATATTAACTGTATTCTGTCTATGGCCATGTTTATTTTTCCTGTAGACTCTGTTTTCATATTGATTGTCGATATAGTAAGGATAATTTTATCCCTTATTTTGCTGATATACTCTCAATTTATCTACCTACTCGCCCAAAAATCTTGTTTTAATTGATTTCCCAGAACTGTTGTTTCATATCTAATTTTTTATTAGCACAATAACTGTTGGTAATAAAATAATTGTGGTTTTGAAAAGCAGTTCGACGTTCTAGTGTCATTTCCCAAGTCCCTATGAGCAAGTTACTAGCCTTACTAAACCTTGGTTTTCTTATCTATAGAAAGATAGTAATTATATTTGCGTTGTAGTGTAGTTAGTTATAAGGCTTAAATAAATAGGTAAAGAATATTAAGTTGATTTCTATTTGTTTTATTAGCTTGTGTCTCCTCTCCCTCCTCATCATTTGGTCAGCTATACAGTGTCCTTTTCTTTTTTATTCTTTTATTTCCTCATGGTTTTGCTGATTTTGCTCTTTCCTTGATGCTCCTTAGCAGATGTGACTTGGAAAGTTGAAAGTAGTCTACACAATTTTGCGGCTTATGGTAGAACTCTGTTTAGGTAGTGCAGTTTTGAGATGCTACTGAGATCATTAGTTGTTTTTAAAAGAAAAATAAACCCCTTTATCTGTCTTAACGCCATTTAATTTGTGAAATAAAGCATTACCATATAGTTGAAGTTTCCACACTTGTGTTTCTAATCGCACCAACTTTTGATGAAAATAAATTAAAGCAGGCTAATAGCAGAAAGCCAGATTATTTTTCCAGCACCTGTTTTATATTTGCTTAAGAGATATTGTGGTGGTTTTATCCAGTATGAAGTGCTAGAATTTAACACAGCTTTGGAATTATCTAATAATCCTGCTACAACATGCAGAAATTTATTGCAGACGGGACTGTCTAGTTGGGAGACAGTGACAGATCATCAGGCATTACATTCTCATAGGGAGCATGCAGCCTCACATGCACAGGTCACGATAAGGTTTGCACTCCTATGAGAAACTAATGCCACCGCTGATAGGACAGGAGGCAGAGCTCACGAGGTGATGTGAGTGATGGAGAGCGACTGCAAATACAGATGAAGCTTTGTTTGCTCGCCCACTGCTCACCTCCTGCTGTGCAGCCCTGTTCCCAACAGGCCACGGACTGGAACTGCCCCATGGTCCATGGCCTGGGGTTGGAGACCCCTGCTGTAATCCATAGTATCTGTGACCTCCATTGTCAGGGTAGCAGTTGTGCATGAGTAAACAGCAAAAGTGCCCACATCAAAAGAATGGATGTCATTGGTTTCAAAGAAAATCATAAAAGTGACGTCACTCCCTTAGTAGCTAGGAATAAAATGATTATGGTGAGAAAATCGGTAAAGAAATGAATCACATATGTTCAGTCACATTCCCAAAACAGAAATCAAAACTAAGTGAGCTCTTACTCTAAAGTTGATAAGAAAAAATAAAAAATCAGCCTTTTATATAAGGTACAAAAGGCATTAAGAACCTGTACCAGTGACTTTTCACTTGTTTTATGATTTTTTAAAAGATATACTATATTACCAATATATTTGATGCTAAAGAGCTTATATTTGGAATATAATGGATATCAGCCACTCTGACACAGAAAGTCTCAGTGTGAGGAAATTTAAGGGATCTCTTAAGTACTTTATTTGCCTATTTTTCTTGTTATGTTTGCATAAAAGTGGTATATGGTAAAATTAATGTGCTAGTAAGACTGTAACTTTAAATAAGTTTGAAGTAGAATCCAAGTGATAAAAAAGCATATGATCGTTTGATAGCGATTTTATTTTTTCTTAAGAGGTTTGTACAATAATATGTCTTAGATTTGAGGAAATACTATATAAATAATTTTTGTTACCCTCCTTCAAGTATAGTTAAATTTGTCACCATCTGAAAAATCTGGTGCTTGGAACTAGATTTACTACCTTTGATATCATCTAGTAAATCATTCATTCATGATGCCTTTTAAAACTTTTAATCAACTTTTATCTGAGGGATGTCTAGTGTTTCCTGAAGTATCATTAGCAACTTCTAGTAGGTTCTTAGTGTGTTCTGTTGACCTTAATAGTGGATTTATATTCTATAGTTTCATTCATGTAAAATTTTATCTCATCTATCTTGTTTTGAGGCATTCACATACAAGTTTTATCCCTGTCAAATTTCATCTTGTTGATAGTTAAATTCTGATTGTTGTCCAGAAGCTGTGTTTTCCAGTTTTGACAGCTGTGTCTTTCTTTATGGCATGTCAATTAGAACTTTGTCTAAGTTGATACAAGGATTCCTTGGACTACAGTAGATGAATAAATGATCACATGGTCAGTTCAACTATATTAACATCTAGTTCCTATGTTTTCTTTATCCACTAGGCACAGATTTGTATTCTGAAAGATTGTCTTGTGTATGTAAGCTATAAAGTTACTGTTCTTTGGAGAGTAGTCTTATCTTTGTAATTCAGAGAGATCCTGAAACTTGAATTTACCCATGCTGCTTTTGAAGTACTCTAAAAACATTGTCAGTTCCTTTCCTACTTGTATTGATGAATTATTCTAGATTACTTAAACTGTCAAAATATGCCCAGTTTATACTTTTAATTGATTTATTAATATATTTATTGCCTTGAAACTAATCATACTGATATCGTCAATGACATTATTACCTAATTTACATCTTTTTATAATCTTTGTTCTTTAGAAATCAATGTGGACTGAACATAAATCACCGGATGGAAGGACTTATTACTACAACACTGAAACCAAACAATCTACCTGGGAGAAACCAGATGATCTCAAAACACCTGCTGAGGTAAAAGTTTGAGGGCTGGAATTTAGGGACTGTCAAGTAGACTGGGGCATATTTTTTAGGATTTTGTAAGTAGTTGATTATGAAAGAGCAGTACTACTTAAATGTCAGAAGAGGATCTGTAAAGACATTCAGAAACAAAGAGGGTTAGTATAGTTACACCAATCGGGAAGAAGAATAAAACTCATCAGAATAATTTTATTTACTGATTTTGTCCCACCTTAGGAAACCTAGTAGAGTGGGATCAATTTTAAAAAGGTGATTTAAATAATAAATTGGAAGTGGGGAAGACTGTTTCTTTCCCTGCCTCCCCCCCTTTTTTTTGTTTCTATTTATAGCAAAACTGGGTGATTTTAAATGACTTCTGCTGAGTTCTTAAATTTCCACTAGGGTTAAGAGTAGTGGAGATGAAATTAAGTTACCTACAAATACTTCCTTCTCTTAGAGTGGGAAGTTTTCTCTCTGTAGGAAATGCCCTTTTAAAAAGTGTGTTTTTATTTCATTTTGTGCTGTAAGTTTTACCATTCAAAATATACAGATATTGAAGAAAAAGTTAAGATTGAAGGAATAAACTGAATTAAGCAGTGTCCATGTTGTTTAATTAGAAACTCTGGGGTGCTAAGTAAGTAAGAGTTGATCTGGCATTCCAGGCTATGCTTAAGTTTCATCCTATCTGGTGGTATACCTTTTTGTTTTCTTCTCTTCCTAATTAAGGAATTTGAGAAGGTAAAAGTATTTTCCAGGTTGCCATACTAATATGCACAGCAGTGCTTGGGAGAGGAGGTTGGTCGATTTTTAAAAATGTGTATTCCAATACTGATTTATAGTCAGTGATATTAATTATATACTTTGTCCAAGACACTGTTTGTCTGGATTCAAGCTTTTGAATAGATTTCTCATACTACCCTAACAGGTTTTGTTTATTCGATTTTAAGTATATTATACCTATGTGTTTTCTTACATAAGTTAATTCATTCATAAACTACGAAACTGAAATCTAAGCATGACTAAACTAGATTTTGGTTTTTTCCAACTTTTATGGTTTTCCAACTAGTATTAGTATTTGAGAAGTCTGTTAAATATGGATGATAATCTTGACCTACAATGGGGTGTGAATGGTAAGAGTAAATAGGATTTGAAATTCATGTAGAACTGGTTTTGAATCTTGTCTTTGCTTTTTAACGAGTATATTACCTTAAAAAGTTACTTTCTGACTTCAAGTAACAGTCCCTAGATATAGAATTATGTTATATATCTTGCAGTGTTACAAAGATTAAATAATGTATTCAAATTACATCACTCAGTGCGTATTCAATAATTGATAGTTTATATTATTACCATCATCTCACAAGTTTTAGAATTGTATCAGTTGGTAATTTCTAGTGAAAACAGCCATGCCATGCAATTGATCAGTGATGTTAAATATATTATTATTAACAATGAAGTTTTTCCTCTTTAGCAACTCTTATCTAAATGCCCCTGGAAGGAATACAAATCAGATTCTGGAAAGCCTTACTATTATAATTCTCAAACAAAAGAATCTCGCTGGGCCAAACCTAAAGAACTTGAGGATCTTGAAGGTAAAATGGGGAAAAGTAGTTTTTAATGTATGTGTTTTATATGTATATGCCATTCACTTTGAAACAATTCCCCCAGAATAGGATTGTTCAAACAAAGACCCCTTTTTTTTTTTTTTTTTTAATTAATTAAATGACTAGAACATTTAAAATGGCGTAACAGTTTTTTGGGCTCTTATTTTCTTGTTGCTTTAGATCTCAGTTCTATAGATTTTAAATAGATTTTTATTTGATTTGATTCCACTGAAACTAGGATACCAGAATACCATTGTTGCTGGAAGTCTTATTACAAAATCAAACCTGCATGGTGAGCTGCTTTGATAATTCATTTTCTGTCATACTTAACATTTTTATTAGAGTGTGTCACTAATATTCACTAACCATGATTGGATAAATCTGCAGTGAAAAATCTCTAAGAATTCTTTTCATTAAAGGGTTATATTATAAATGAGCTTGTAGCTTTTAAAGTTGTACTTTGGTTTTTAGAAAAAAGATTGTTTATCATTCAGTTGAACAAGGAGTTCACATACAAAATTTCCAAATCCTACTGAGTGTTGGTGCATACATATAACCTGTGTTTTAACTCATTTTATGGTAATAGATAGTAGAGTACCTTGAATCTATATCCATTTATATTTTGTTAGTATATTGTCAGACTATATATGTAATGCTGGTTTTGTTTAGCATAGTGTTGCAAAATAGCCTTGATATGTTCATTATGGAAGAATTAAGGTAAACCAAGTATCATGCCTCACTTACAAAGGGAAAATTTTTCAACATTTGGAACTAATCAGAATAACCCTTAAAAATCTGGAAATACTTAATACTAAATGTAAAACCTAAAACTTAAAATAGAGATAATCAGTAGGGATTGAAAATCTAGTTTTTATACTCACTTCTAATAGAATCTAGTGTCATAAATTATATAAAATTAGAAGTAGCAGATTGTAGGAGAATGGGGCTAATAAAGTAGATAGTGATGTGGAATGACATCTGGCAGGAAAAGAGAATAAAAATTTCCTAAAAGACTCTGTCATATTAAGCCCCTTTACCTTTTCCTTGTGCCACCTCATTAGTTAGATCATCACTGTATCAGAAAAATGTTAATTTACATTAGTAATGATAACTTTTTAAGTACCTTTTTTCAGCCGTCCTAAACAGATTTTCAGAAATATTTTTCTTTAAAGGGTGAAAAGTTTTAAAAATATTTTTGTAAAGAGTTAGGCTTGTGTTATTACTTAATGTGGAGAATCTCATTCCCTTCATAATGTCAAATAGAAGATATTTTTGTTACATCCAATGGAAAATGTACTGGAATGAAAACTGAAATTGTGCAGATCTTTAAAGCTCAGTTTAAGTTACCTATACTAGCATTGGCTAATAATAATATGTAGATAGGTAGATTCCCAGTTGATCATTTACAAAGTATCAAGCTCATTTCTGATATAACCCTACTACAAATAGTTGGTGTGCATAACTATCTATCTACTTGTCAATGCTAGTATATATGTGCTGGAATTTTATAATAAATTTGATCCCATTTTGAATTTAGTATCTTAAAAATAAATCGAACGAGTCTCATCCCTGGAGAAAATACTGTTTTCTTCCAGAATTATGCAGATACTTTCATAAAGTTGTTATAGCAGCCTCTGGGAGAGCAGCAGCATGGAATAAGCTTTCCTAGTAATTACTCTTATTTAAATTTGTTTTATTCTTTATTTGCTATACTAGACTTTTAGAGCAAGAATTTGTTCTGTAAAAGTGATTTTTTATTTTTTAGGATGGAAAATGAAATCCTTTTGTATGATACTTTTGAAGTTTAAATCTTTTAAAGTTTGTTTTCAGTGATTATATTTTAAAACTAGTAGATGACTTTTTTTCTCTCTTTAATAGCAATGATCAAAGCTGAAGAAAGCAGGTAAGCAATTTTGGACATCAATTTTTATTGACGAATTTGGTCTCTCCTATAATATCCTTGTGTTTGCTCAATTTTCTTTGTAATACAAGTAATGATTTAACATGTTAGGCTTGATATTTTGATGTCCTTGTAGCATTTTGTTGAGGAAAAATTAGGGAGGGGGATATTTACTCAATTTGATGCTTTGCTATACAGTGATTATTAGAATTTGTACTGTATGCCTTACAAATTAAGAAGACTGTGTTACAGAATAGTCCAAAATTCAGTTTGAGTTGATGAGGGAATGGACGAAATATATCTGTGTATCTCTTCCTTTACACAGGGTTTCCTCTAAATGGGTGAATTGGAGAAAATTCAAAGTTCTTAGAGAACTTTTTAATATGGGTCATATTTCATGGTGTAATACAATCTGATAGATTGGGTATTTTATAAATGTGAATGCTTACTGAACTTTTGAGTGCCTGTAATACGTTACCATGAGTGTTAATGGAATTAAAGTAGTACAGTTATATTCTGTGGTTTTAAAATCTTTTTTAATGGGTTTGGCATTTCTTGCTGTTTTTTCCTTCAATTATTTCTTATTATTTGATTTTATGGCAATTTTAAAGCTAGCTTTATTTAGCTTTCTGATTACAATAATGAAATGACCAGTGTTCTCTTTTTTTAATGTATAGTAAGCAAGAAGAGTGCACCACAACATCAACAGCCCCAGTCCCTACAACAGAAATTCCGACCACAATGAGCACCATGGCTGCTGCAGAAGCAGCAGCTGCTGTTGTTGCAGCTGCAGCAGCAGCAGCAGCTGCAGCAGCTGCAGCCAATGCTAATGCTTCCACTTCTACTTCTAATACTGTCAGTGGAACTGTTCCAGTTGTTCCTGAGCCTGAAGTTACTTCCATTGTTGCTACTGTTGTAGATAATGAGAATACAGTAACTATTTCAACTGAGGAACAAGCACAACTTACTAGTACCCCTGCTATTCAGGATCAAAGTGTGGAAGTATCCAGTAATACTGGAGAAGAAACATCTAAGCAAGAAACTGTAGCTGAGTAAGTTTAGTAACTTGTCTTCTAAAAATCAGTACCAGATTTCATTAATAAAAGTAGTTGCCAGTTTAGTGGCCATAAATTGTTTAAATAAATTTTTTTGAGAATCGTAATATCAAGCCGTTAAGATAGTTGATCAGTTTTCAGGCTGAATTTTGGAGGGTTATGCCAGCAAACTTGAAATTTTTAGTTTGCTGAAATTTTAACAAGTAGAGCCAAGGCTGGGGAGTTGGGGCACAAATCTGAAAGATTGCCAAAAACCTTAGTAAGCAAGATACATCATATCTTGATGCAATATTTTACATGAGAGCAGTGCAGAAATTCATGATTAACAGACTCAATATTTTCAGTTAAGATAGGTGTACTGTTTCTTCTTTGGTTATTGGTGTTTTGGGTTTCAGCCTCCTATAAATCAGTTTTAAAAATACAGCTTTGTAGAAAAAGGAATTATGGGGGGGGAAAAAGCAGTTTATGGCTAGGCATGGTGGCTCACACCTGTAATCCCAGCACTTTGGGAGGACCAGGCAGGAGGATCATTTGAGGCCAAGAGTTTAATGTCAACTTGGGCAACATAGCAAGACCCTCTCTCTACAAAAAATTTAAAAATCAGCCAGCACTTTTAACCTCAACTACTGGGGAGGCTGAGGCAGGAGGGTCACTGAGCCTAGGAGTTCAAGGCTGCAGTGAGCTATGATTATACCGCCGCACTCCAGCCTGGGTGAGAGAGCAAGGCCACCCTTTTTTTTTCTTTTTTTTGACACAGGGTCTCCCTCTGTCATCCAGGCTGGAATGCAGTGGCGTGATCAGGGCTCACTGCATCCTCGACCTCCTGGGCTCAAGCGATTCTGCCACCTCAGTCTCCTCCTGAGTAGCTGGGACTGCAGGCACATGCACCATGCCTAGCTCATTGGCCTGCCTCAGCCTCCCAAAATGCTGGGATTTTTCTACCTGGCCAAGGAAAAAAGGCAATTTACAGAGAAAGAAAGTTGTCTAGGAAGTATATGAAAAGCCATTCAGCCATAATAATAAAGAAATACAAGTTAAAATAATATTGTGATTATTTTTCTAAGTGAAAATCAAGTAGAGAAACATTTAAAAGATAACACCAGATATAAGAAAACTCTCATTTCACTCTTAGACTAAAGTAATACAACTTTTTAATAAAACAAAGCTGTATCTGTCAAGAGTTCACAGTTTGTGTGTACTTGCATAACCTGTAGTCTAGTACAGTTTATATGGCTGTGCTTTATAGAGCTTTAGAAAGTGAGATCAAGCTAAATTTCTTGACTTTAAGGGTGCCCTCATGTTTTTTTAAAAAAAATAGTTAACCGTAAGCTCATTATCCAAACATGATTATCCATCTTAATATTTAAGCGTGTTGCCTTCATCCATCCATCCCTTATTTTAAGTGTTCTTTTGTTGTTCGTATGTTAGTTTCCCAAAGTCAAAATAGATTGATAACCTTTTCTGATGCTTAAAACGTTTTAAAAGAAATCCGTATGGCGTATTTGAAGGCATGAAAATGAAATTAACATTTTCTCTACATTTAAGATACATGAATATATATCTAATATATCAGAGACATCTTCCACATTGATAGAAATGTGGACCCATCATGTCTAGTGATGGGTTACTATCATTTGATTGTGCATGAATGGAAGTGCTCCCCTATCCGTAGATACTTAGGCTTTTTGGAATAATTTTATTTTGCATCTTGTCGTACTGAAACGTTTCATCAATAATGTTTTCCATAAGTTTAACATTAAATAGTTGTTCCCTGCTTTTTTCATTCCGACATTTCCTTGCTATAGTGCCTGAGTCATTATAATATGCTTTTGATTTTAATTACTATAATAGAGATCATTTTTTGTCAGTATCTACTACAGTGTCTCTTTGCGTCAGCATTCTACTTAAAGTATTTTTTTTTCATCCCCCGACCCCCACCCCATACATTCCCTTATTATGTAGAAAGAAATGTAAGGCTTATACAATTTTTTCTTGTCAGGAAGACCCCCAATTATTAAACAAGTTAGTGATTCTGGGTAGTATTAATTTTTGTTTGACATCAGTATTCAGCACACTTTTTCATGAAATATCAGATTGGAAATATTTTTGGGTTATTTGTGTCATATAGTCTTTATATAGTGACTCAAATCAGCTGTGGTAGCACAGTCAGCGATAAACAATCTGTAAACAAATGAACATGGGCATTTTCAAGTAAAACTAGAATTACAAAAATTAATAGGCTGAATTTGACTAGTGGGTTGTAGTTTGTCAATCCTGATTTAGATTGATCCTTACATCTTATTAATCTTCACCCTTGCCCAAATCCTTAGAGTTATTGCAGCACTAATGTGGAACCAGTGAATGAGTTTAATAAGCCATTTAAAACTATTAACCTGTGGGCCAGAGGAGCTAGTGTCTTAAGTCAGTTAAACGTTTATTTTGTCATTTGTCCAGGGTCTTAAAAACTGATTTAATAACTGAAGTTTTATGAAACTATTATCTTTATTTCTTTGTCTTCAGATAAGTGTTTTTTTTAGAGTTCATATAGCTTTTATCCTAAATGTCAAATTTTAATTCAACATCAAACATTTAAACAGTTTAGGCATTATTTTTCTAAATGAAACAAAAATTTATTTAATTCATAACTACCACATTTGAATTTCTCTCTAGTTTTACTCCCAAAAAGGAAGAGGAGGAGAGCCAACCAGCAAAGAAAACATACACTTGGAATACAAAGGAGGAGGCAAAGCAAGCTTTTAAAGAATTATTGAAAGAAAAGGTATTAATATTGCAGATTTTTATTGTTTAACTTTTTGACATCACATCTATATTACAGATTTTTATGTGATGCATAATATTTACCCAATAAATGACGTTACTCTTTAAACTTTGATGGTATTGATGATACCAGTCTCATGAACTGTTGAACTGAAAAGCAACTAAATGTGTCTTGTTTTTTTTTTTGAAGAACACTTGTGAAACTGACTTTCAACACAAAAACTATTGTGTACAAGGTATTACACAAGCACATTTCTACCCAATATTTAATGTAAGGGGTTTTAAAATTCATAATAATTATCTTTTATCAGTAGTCTAAGAAAAAAGCATTTATGCTCTATTTAAATTTCAGTTAAAGTTTTCATTTTAGTTCATAGGTGTATTACACAGATTTGCCTTCAATAAAAAACTATTTTTTTAAAACTTGTTCAAACTCCTGCAAATGGAAATGCTTGATATTTGCAGTGAGTATTATACTTGGTTCCTGTTATGTGACTTAAACTCTTCTTGTGTGAAATTTTAATTTTTCATTTAAATGATTTTCAGCGGGTACCATCAAATGCTTCATGGGAGCAAGCCATGAAAATGATTATTAATGATCCACGATACAGGTAATACTTCAGCTTTTTTTTACTTTTCAGTTTGAGCATAGCAAGCCTAACACATTTAAAGTTGTATAGAAAGAGAAAACATTTAACTCTGTTGACATCTGTTTAGGATACCAAGTATAGAGTTGTTTTATGTCTAATAACCAAAAAGTCAGTCAAACAATTTACCCTGCTACATATAAAATAATAATTATTTTAAAAGTAGAAATTACTTTCTCCAATCATTTCTTGTCTTTAATAAATTTTTGAAATTTTTAAAATTTATATATGTAAACAATTTTATTTTTTTCAAATCACTAATATTTGATTCTTTTGCCTGTGTCTACTCTTATATGGTATTTTTATATTAGTGCTTTGGCAAAGTTAAGTGAAAAAAAGCAAGCCTTTAATGCCTATAAAGTCCAGACAGAAAAAGAAGAAAAAGAAGAAGCAAGATCAAAGTACAAAGAGGCTAAGGAATCCTTTCAGCGTTTTCTTGAAAATCATGAGAAAATGACTTCTACAACCAGATACAAGTAAGATGTTGAATGTTGCATGGCTTATATTTACTACATTGTTGTTTGTGTCGTACTTTTTTGCCATGTGCAGTAGCTGATCCAGAGCTCATTAAATAAAACTAGATAATTATGAATGTGGAAGCTTCATGAGGTACCAAATAAATCTGTAGTTAAATGTAGAATTTAACTTGTAGACTTACTAAGTTTTTTAGAGACTGGAAGAAGGGGAGAAAGATTGAATTCAATAATCAAGTTGGAGGCTAGACGTGGTGGCTCACACCTATAATCCCTACTATTTGTGAGGCCAAGGCAAGCAGATGGCTTGAGCCCAGGAGTTCAAGACCAGCCTTGGCAACATGGTAAAACCTTGTTTATAGGGGAAAAAAAGAAAAATACAAAAATTAGCCAAGCATGGTGGCACGTGCCTGTAGTCCCAGCTCCTTGGGAGGCTGAGGTAGAAAAATCACTTGAGCCTGGGAAGGCTACAGTGAGCCATAATTGCACCACTGCACTCCAGGGTGACAGCGAGACCCTGTCTCAAAAAACAAACAAACAAAAAACAGAAAAGAAAAATCAAATTTGATTGCCTTTTACTTAAAAACATTGACATTATTGATCTTTGTGGAGTAAAAAGAGGCGGTTTTCATTACGTAGGCATAGCATTTTGGATAATTGTTTTATATAGCATTCTTCATTTTAGATTGCTTATGTAAAATTGTGGATAATTTAATGTTAAAAGTTTTTCGATATGTTATTAAGCCTATTTTCTGTATGTACTTCTTTGTTTTCCTCAGTATTCCAGAGAAGTCTGTAATTTAGTTCTGTCAGCAGTTTGGTAGTCTTGTGTGGCTGCCACTAGATACAGAGGTAGTCTAGACTATAAGCAGTGCCTAATGTGAATTATCCCCTCTATCTCTAACGAGAGAGGGAGGCATGTGCTATTTTTTTTTTTCATAATTATCCAGGAGTTTGCCTTTAATATTTTTATGAACTTCGAATAGAAAGTATTCATTTTGTAGTTTTAAATTTAGTTTAAAAATTGGTTAAGATTAATTTTTATTGTATAATATAATTTTTTAACATAGAAAAGCAGAGCAAATGTTTGGAGAGATGGAAGTTTGGAATGCAATATCAGAACGTGATCGTCTTGAAATCTACGAAGATGTTTTGTTCTTTCTTTCAAAAAAAGAAAAGGTATTCTTAGTTACTGGTATTTATAGATAACACAAGATGTTTCCTCATTCTCAGGAAGATTGGTTTTAAAATGTGTACGTTTTTGTGGCTTAGTTTATCCAGTTTATGTGGTATAGCAGATTATTTATTGGAAGTAACATTTAAAGATGGAATGTGTAACTTCTATAATAAGCTTCTTTATCATTCATGTAGCGTATTAAGTACTGATGTAGACTCAGTGGGTAATTCAGCTATTTGTATTGTCATTAATTGGCTATCTTAAACACTCACTTTGAAAAAGAAGGTACCTTTTTTGCTCATTAGGTTTAAAAATGCTGGGTTTTTTTGCTTATAACAAACATGATTGGTACAAGAATGACAGCAGTGTGCAGTGGTTTCTACAAAACTTATAACATTTTAAAATACCTATTTCACTCCTGTCTCTTTTTCATTGTGCACTGTTATATTTTATGTTTTCTAGTTTTCAAGGAACACATAGATGCAAGTATTATCAAATTTAAACATAGCTGAAGGTCATTGAAGACTTTAGCATTTACCTGCAATGTGACTTGTCCATGGTAACCTTAGTTTTTGTCTGTAATGCTTAGTGGTAGAAAGGTTTATGTAGTGGGGAATGTATGGGGGAAAAGCTGAAAACATGGTTTCCAGATTCTAGCTTTTAGAAGGAGGTGGAAAATGTGAAGCTAAGTACCAAAGCCAAGTGCTTAGGCAAGAGCAAGCAAAGTCAGCAGTGTGGCCATTTAAAGTAAATGAAATTTACTTGAAATTTGATTTAACCTTTGAAATTTGGTCATCCATTAGAATATAAAGCCTTCACTAATTGCAATTTAAGTATCTTAATTTCTTGGAACTTTGAAACATATATATTCATACTTCTGCTATAGGAACAAGCAAAGCAGTTGCGAAAGAGAAATTGGGAAGCCTTAAAAAACATACTTGACAACATGGCTAATGTAACATACTCTACCACTTGGTCTGAAGCCCAGCAGTATCTGATGGATAATCCAACTTTTGCAGAAGATGAGGAGTTACAAAGTAAGAATAATGGCTAAGAGAAATAGTTTTAAATAGTGTCCTCCAGCAGCGAAGAATTATTTTCACTTTTTATATGAGATAACTAACTGAATTTTATGCAGTTGTTGGTTCATTTCTGAAAAAGTGTTTTATTTATTTCCAAATAGGATATTTCTTTCTGATTGAGTTTGTGATTCATGACAAAATGTTTTTTCAAATTTAAAGTAGCTTTATCAGGTAATACTTGAAATATTTAAATTATAGGTCAAATTTGAAATCATGCTTAGCCATTTGTATGTAACTTGGTAAGAACTAAATGAATTACCGCATTTTACTCGTGTTTTTTTGTGGTAATAACATTACAGATTTGTAAAAAAAAGAAAATGTATTAGAATTATCTTACATTAGGCTTCCCTAAGTATTCTTTCTGAGTTAACCAATTGCTTTTTAAATTATAGCTTTCTCAGCTACCTCTCTAAAAGTCATGCTTCAGTAGATTTTTTTTATAGGGTGCACAGTTCTATACTAAGCTCTTGGAATAATTATGATATTGCAAACAGATTTTATCATAACACTTTTATTTTCATTAGTTTTGCCATATGCACGTCCTTTGTTTTATCCTATGACATGTTTCAGAGTGCCTTTTATTGAGTTCTTTGTGAAATTTTCCTTAAAACTTTCCTATGCAGATGATTACAAATCATATTGAGTTTAAATACAAGTTTGTTTGTTTGTTTGTTTAGAGACGGGGTCTTGCTGTGTTGCCTAGGCTAGTCTTGAACTCCTGGGCTCAAGCAGTCCTCCCACCTCAGCCTTCCAAAGTGTTGAGATTACAGGCATGAGCCACCTCACCCTAGCCTAGCTAAAAGTATTTTTGACAGGTGATTTTGAAATTTTGGGGGATCTAATGCAAATAAACTACTTGTTGACATTTGACACTTTAAATTTTAACTGGCAAATACTTTAGATATGGACAAAGAAGATGCATTAATTTGCTTTGAAGAACACATTCGGGCTTTAGAAAAGGAGGAAGAAGAAGAAAAACAGAAGAGTTTGCTAAGAGAAAGGAGACGACAGCGAAAAAATAGGGAATCTTTCCAGGTAAAAGAAAAAGCTCTTTTCTAGCTTAGTTTTATATTATACTTACAGAACTTGAACAGTAATATAAAGAATTTTGAGACAACTGTTCCCAGATCATAGACTTAGGCTTTGTGAGGACTCATACACATTTAACTCTTTAAGTTCTACAGATGAACATTGATAAATGAGGTTTCGGTTGGGGAAAACAACAGGAGAGATGACTGGAAACAAGATATGTGTGGTGAGTCAGTAGTAGATGATACTTAGTTTCTAGAGGACAAAGGGACTGCTAGGGTATAGTTTGGGGATGGGCCATAATTTCTTAAACACTAAAAAAAGGACCTGGGATTGCATGTTTTTCAGCTAGTAGTTTATTTTCATCTTCAAGTATCATTTTTATTTTCAGAGATAGAAAATATCATGGAGCAATGAATTTTTTGCATTTCATATCTCACCCATTTCAATAATAATTGTAATAGCTAATGTTCTTTGATTGCTTACTGTCAATACAATTTATGTTTACAATCTCAATTTTTATGACAGTCTTATCTTATAAGGGTTCTTACTGTTTTTGTTACATAAGTTTATATAACTAAGGAAATGAAGAGGTGAAGTGACTTGCCCAAGTTCAACAGTTGCTGAATAGTGAAGCCAGAATTTGAATCCATGCAGTTTTGATTACAGGGTCTCTTCCATTAACCATTGTATTAGGGTGAATGCTAGGTTAAAATGGCTTAAATTTTAAGTTTTTTTCTTGAAATAACAGTCTTTTTGGTCTAGGGCAGGGCATATTGCCATCCCCTAAGGCAGAGGTTCTCAAAATTCAGTGTGTATTAGAATGACGTAGAGGACTTTTTAAAAATTTCTTCTGGCTGGGCACAGTGGCTCATGCCCATAATCCCAGCACTTTGGGAGGCTGAGGCTGGCAATTGCTTGAGTCCAGAAGTTCAAGACCAGCCTGGGCAACATGATGAAACCCGCTCCCTACTAAAAATACAAAAATAATAATAATAATTAGCTGGGTGTGGTGGTGCACGCCTGTAGCCCCAGCTACTCAGGAGGCTGAGATGGGAGAACCTGAGCCCAGGAGGTCAAGACTGCAGTGAGCTGTGATGGCGCCATTGCACTCTAGACTGTGCGAAAGAGCGAGATCCTGTCTCAAAAAAAAAAAAAAAAATTATTCCCACTATGCCAAAGGTTACTAACCATCTTAAACGTCACAGCCAGTAGAATGATTTCGGTCCTTATTCAATGAAAACCTAACATTTACTACTCTTGATGGGTTCCTTTATCTTAGTGACTTCCTAGACTATCATATTCTACAATGGTTAAAAACACAAATTGTTTGGCCTTACCTGAAGAATTTGAATTAGTAAGTCTGGGTTGTAGTCTGAAAATTTACATTTCTAAATTTCCAGGTGGTATCGATACTGTTGGACCATACTTTGAGAAGCATTGCCCTAGCGTGTTAACCTTCTCTGCAGAGTTAGGGGTATGCTGCCCCCATTTCACATTTTAACTTGGAAAAAGTCGAAAGAACAGTTCTTTTTTAAAGCTAATGATTTAGAAGTTCTGCTCACCTCCTTCATTTGGGTTCAGTTGCTGAGAATTTAGTCACATGGCCACAACTAGCTACACAAAGGAGGCTAGAAAACTTAGCTTTTAGCTAAGCAGCCATGTGCCCAGGAAGAAGGGGAGGACAGATATTTAGGAGGGCTATTATACACTCTTCCACAACCTAAGCTTTAACGTCTCTGGTGAAGGTTTTGCAGTGGTTTAAAATAAGGAGACATATGTGAAAAAATAATAATACAGTGAAAATAAGATGGAAATCTGGGTCATAGAAAATATGAGACTATAACGTAAACAATACTGAAGGTGGAGACTATGAGGCAAAATTTTGATGTAAAGTCTGCACGGTTCCGCAAATAAGCCTAAATGTGGCTTTGAATCAGATTGCTATGTGTCTAGCATAGTTTCTGATTACTACTAATAAAATTGGTGTTAAGTATGTTATATTAATATTCTTTCAGATATTCAGCCTGGTAATTTTCCTGTTCTGCTACTTCAAAAGATTTATTTAAGACTTTAGTGAAATGAATTAAAAGAGAAGATTGGCATTAGACAATAAAATATAATTAATGGAGAGCATCTCAGTACTTATGGTTATGATGATGACTATTTTTATTTAGTGTTCATTTGCTAATCAGAAAATTCATCACGTCTATGACGAGGAAACTATGACTTTGTTTTTCTTATGTCTTAAAACTGGTATTTGAAGTCAATGTCGTCTGGAAAGGATTGATCTGAGGCTTTCAAGGAGAACCAGAGGAATGTATAGTGTCTCAGAAGCCAAGAGTTTGGAGTTTTAAGATAAAGCATGATCCCCAGATGCACAGAATCAGTATCACCTGGGAAATTATGAAAATGTATATTCTGAAACCTGGGAAATTATGAAAATACATATTCTGAAACCCCACGTCAGACTTAAAGAATCAGATTCTGGAAATGGGACCTAACAATCTGATTTTTTTAAACAGTCCTTCAAATAAGTCTTTGAGAAACCCCTGAGGTAAAGGAATCCATCTAAAGTAACATGTTAAGAAATTTTTATGGAATGAGGACTGAAAGAATACTGTTAAGAGTGGCATTTAAGGTGTTTAGTGACCATTGGCATGGTAGGGAAAGTTAAAGGTCTGCCAAATAGTCAAAAGGTAACTAGAGGTATAGTTACACCTTTCAGATATTCAGTAAGGTGAAATTGAAATAAGCTTGGGGTTAAGAGAAAGGCTTTTCTTGGGTAAGAGAAAACCAGTTAAGAGGGAAAGAATGAAGGAAGAATTGAAAAATAAGGGTGACTCTTATTAAACAAAATCTCGTAAGGTTTGGAATTCAAGCATATATGTGAATACAGTTACACTGAGAGCAGTTTATAAAGGAACAAAAAGAAGGATGAAGATGGAGAAAAATTAATACCGATTAGGATCTAAGACAGTGGTGCTCAACCAGGAAAGCTTTTGTGATTGTCACTATTTGTGGGGAACATGCTACTGGCATCTAGTGTGTAGAGGCAAGAGATGCTGCTAAACATCCTGCAATGTGTACAGGACTCAAACATACCCCGCCCTCAACCAAGAGAAAGAAAGAAAAAAAGTATTACGTCATCCAAGATGTCATTAGTGCCAAGGGAAGAAGAAACATCAAGCCCAGCCATCTTTGAAGCAACTTGCTTTCCATAATGTAAAAGACAAGGCTTTTTCACCCCTAAAATGGGGCAAGTAAATAGAGAATAAGAACCATACAGTTTTGTCAGAGTGGTTTTCAAACCTGAATTCACATCGGTCATTGAATATTCTAAATACCTGAATATTAATATTGCTTTAAAAAAATAGTCCTCAGGTGATTCTTTCAGGTTAGGGATCCACTATAGAAATAATTTCAGTGTCACAGTTCTTTGACTTTATCAGACGGATCTCACCAGTCTGGAAGTGTAAGAAACACTAGCAAAACAGGTATGATAGAGTGAGGTAAGTTCTAAGATACTAGAGCATCACTGAAGATGGTTTCCAAACTATTTTAGAGACTCAAGAGGGAGCAAGTGAGGAACCTGGTGAGCACAACAAGGGTGGTTAAGACAAAATTCCATTTATGTTGAAGGGTAAGGGTAGTTGACAAAAGGGTAGATACAGGCAGGGTTTGAGAAAAGAATTTCAGAGTTGCAAGGGAGTATGGACATATTTAGTCTCATCTGAAGAGGAATGAGTGGAGTTGTAAGTGCCTGATGTTGGTTTAGGACAGCTCTATCCAATAAAAATGTGAATGCCACAAATGCGATTTTAATTTATTATTTATTTTAGTAATTTAACCCAGTGTAACCAAATATTATTTTAACACATAATCAGTATTTTTTAAAATTGCTAATATTTGTGTGTAGGGTCCAGCCCCACAGGGTCGGTGGGTTTTTCTCCCCATGTGTGGATACAAGAGATTGTAGAAATAAAAAAACAAAGAGATAAAAGGCAGCTGGCCAGCTACTCGGGAGGCTGAGGCAGGAGAATGGCATGAACCCGGGAGGCGGAGCTTGCAGTGAGCTGAGATCCGGCCACTGCACTCCAGCCTGGGCGACAGAGGGAGACTCCGTCTCAAAAAAAAAAAAAAAAAAAAAGGCAGCTGGGCCCAGGGGACCACTACCACCAAGACACGGAGACCGGTAGTGGCCCCAAATGCCAGGCTGCACTGATATTTATTGGATACAAGACAAAGGGGCAGGGTAAGGAGTGTAATCCATCTCCAATGATAGGTAAGGTCACGTGGGTCACGTGTCCACTGGACAGGGGGCCCTTCCCTGCCTGGCAGCCGAGGCAAAGAGAAAGAAAGGAGAGACAGCTTACGCCATTATTTCTGCATATCAGAGACTTTTAGTACTTTCACTAATTTGTTACTGCTATCAAGAAGGCAGAGCCGGGTGTAACAGGACGGACCGTGAAGGTGGACTAGGAGTGTGACCACTGAAGCACAGCATCACAGGGAGACGGTTAGGCCTCCGGATAACTGCGGGTGGACCTGACTGATGTCAGGCCCTCCACAAGAGGTGGAGGAGTAGAGTCTTCTCTAAACTCCCCCGGGGAAAGAGAGACTCCCTTTCCCGGTCTGCTAAGTAGCAGGTGTTTTTCCTTGACACTGACGCTACCGCTAGACCACGGTCCACTTGGCAACGGGCGGTCCACTTGGCAACGGGCGTCTTCCCAGACGCTGGCGTTACCACTAGACCAAGGAGCCCTCTGGTGGCCTACCCGGGCATAACAGAAGGTTCGCACTCTTGTCTTCTGGTCACTTCTCACTGTGTCACCTCAGCTCCTATCACTGTATGGCCTGATTTTTCTTAGGTTATGATTGTAGAGCGAGGATTATTATTATATTGAAATAAAGGGTAATTGCTACAAACTAATGAATAATGATATTCATATATAATCATATCTGTGATCTATATCTAACTATTCTCATTTTATATATTTTATTATACTGGAACAGCTCGTGCCCTCAGTCTCTTGCCTCGGCACCCGGGTGGCTTGCTGCCCACATTTGTGGTACTAAATCTTCAAGATCATTGTATGTTTTATACTTAACAGCACATCACAACTCAGAATAGCTACATTTCATGTACCCAGAAGCTATGTTAGGTCAGTGGCTACCTTATTGAACAGTGCAGGTATAGGAATTGTGGCAACAGAATATAGGGTTACAGTTTCTTTTAGTCACATTTGTGTATAGCAGTGGAAGACAGTTTTTCCTGTTGGGGTGGGGTGGGGGGTTGGTATCATCAGGCATTAGATTATCATGAGGACCACACAACCTAGATTGCTGGCATGCTCAGTTCACAATATGGTTTGCAGTCCTATGAGAATCTGATGCCCCCACTGATCTGACAGGAGGCGGAGCTCGGGCGGTAATGCTTGTTCCACCACTCACTCCCTGCTGTGTGGCTCGGTTCCAGTTCTGTGGCCGGGGGTTGGGATCCGCTGATGTACAGGATTAAACTCCCTAAGGATTGGGTTGGAAGCAGGAAGTGTGGAAATTGAAACTAGATATGGGTTTGAATCCTAGGTCTCCAAACTACTTTGGGAAAATTATACATCCTCCTCTTAAGGCCCCTTGTTTTTTAAAGAATAAATAAAAATACCTAGAACACATCAGGCACTATTTTTAAAGACAGAGTATACGTTTAAGGAAACATGCGTATACATTCTTTAGCCTCATCATTTGAGGTGGATACCCAATATTGTAAGTTCTACCTTTTTTTAAAGCTAAAAATTAGGTTCTATCTGAAAGGGTAGGAAATAGAACCTTAGGAGGATAATGCGGTGTTGTAAAAGTTATTTTCTCTAAAGGACAAAATATTTTTCTGCCTAAAGGCAGTTGTTACTTTGCCCAAATAGGAAATAGTCTTTATACCCAAACAGGTTTGGGATAACATTGGTAGAAGAGTTTTAACTATGTCAAAGTTTTTGTGTGTTTTCATGTTAGACTCTTATTTCTCATGTACTTAGATGACTTTTCAAATATAATTTTTCTCCCTAGATATTTTTAGATGAATTACATGAACATGGACAACTACATTCTATGTCATCTTGGATGGAATTGTATCCAACTATTAGTTCTGATATTAGATTCACTAATATGCTTGGTCAGCCTGGTAAGATTATTTTCTTTCCTAATTTACCGTTACGGTAGTAGTTGGAATGGGCCAAATGCAAAGGTGATTATGTTGGGGGAAGGGTGCTTTATTTTTGTTTTTTAAACAAAAAAGTAATTGCAGCTCTTTGGTTAGAGCTAGCTTTTGACTTCTTTAGTTTTTTCATTAGGATCAACTGCACTTGATCTTTTCAAGTTTTATGTTGAGGATCTTAAAGCACGTTATCATGATGAGAAGAAGATAATAAAAGACATTCTAAAGGTAAATAACTATTTATTCTTACCTTTTAACCTATAGTATATCTTAAAAGTACTGTATTCCTTTGATTTATGCATTATTGATACTAAGATTTCTTTTTTTTTAGGATAAAGGGTTTGTAGTTGAAGTAAATACCACTTTTGAAGATTTTGTGGCGATAATCAGTTCAACTAAAAGATCAACTACATTAGATGCTGGAAATATCAAATTGGCTTTCAATAGTGTAAGTTATTTTTTCTCTTGTAAATAACTAATTTAATAGTATAGTTTTTAATTTATTCAGATAAAAGCAGCTAAGTTGCAGCACATTGGAAACGGAATATGAATAGAATTTTACAGAGTAGTAGCCAGTCTTTCAGGTAAGGTAAAAGAAAAAATTTTGTTTAGACGATGGATTGACATTAAACTTCCTTTGCTCAAATTAACTGTTATTATTATACATAATATGGCCGTTATAAACCAGGCCTTGGGCCACACATGAAATACACCGACACTAACAACAGCTGATGAGCTAAAAACAAAAGACAAAACATTTGCAAAAACCTTATAATGTTTTAAGAAAGTTTACAAATTTGTGCTGGGCCACATTCAAAGCTTTCCTGGGCCACATGTGGCCCATGGGCCACAGGTTGGACAAGCTTATTTTAAACAATGTGTGATTCCTAAATTAACAATAAATTATTTCAGCTAATAGTTATGATACTATTATAACTGATTAAGTATGATTTTCTAATAGTTACTAGAAAAGGCAGAAGCCCGTGAACGCGAAAGAGAAAAAGAAGAGGCTCGGAAGATGAAACGAAAAGAGTCTGCATTTAAGAGTATGTTAAAACAAGCTGCTCCCCCGATAGAATTGGATGCTGTCTGGGAAGATGTATGTATACTTGTTAATTTTTTCTAATGGAATTATTTTCTTTACAGTTGAGAAAGAAATTTAAAATATTTTTATTTTTCATTTTATAGCCACAAAAGCTAAATTTATTTGTAGAATATATTAAATATATTTAGAATATAATAAAAGCATTAAATCAGCTGTGAGTCTGTGTTTAGGAATATTTGTAAAGAATGGTTTGGACTTTTGAAGGGAGGAAATAATGGACTTTAAAGGGACTGGTTCATCACAGTTTTTACTTGCTGTTATGATTTATTTTAGATGTATTGGTGTACTTTCTTGGTATTCATATATTTATTTTATATCTGAATTTTTCAGATCCGTGAGAGATTTGTAAAAGAGCCAGCATTTGAGGACATAACTCTAGAATCTGAAAGAAAACGAATATTTAAAGATTTTATGCATGTGCTTGAGGTAATTTTAGAATTCTCATATATAAAATATATAAAAATGTAAACAAATTGAAGAACTTACAATGATGAAAGTATTTTACTTAATGTTCACTGCTTTCATACAAATGTACTTACCTGGGACAGTTAGAGAATGGTATTTTTCCTATAAAAACTGCTTTTAAGTGAGAGAAATTATAAGTTTCCATAGGAATATAAAGATTTGTATGTGAAAACTGTTTTGTATTTTTAGAAAGTTTTAGAAATTGAGCAGTTTGGCAGCCACATGGATTGACTAGTAAACTTAAAACTGAAAAATTTTTCTTGTAAAGCAGATAGAAAACAGCTTTTAGGCACATTTGAGGTATTATACCACATTAGCTGTGTAGAAAACCCAGAGAGTTTCTGGAATAAATGGTAAGATTTTGTTGAAATAAGCAATGAAACATTAACATCTCAGGTCACTTTAATAAGGTTCACTGGGCACGGTGGCTCACGCGTGTAATCCCAGCACTTTGGGAGGCTGAGGTGCATGCTGATCACCAGAGGTCAGGAGTTTGAGACCAGCTGGGCAACATGGCAAAACCCTGTCTCTACTAAAAATACAAAGAAATTAGCAGGGAGTGATGGCGCCCAGCCACTCAGGAGGCTGAGGCAAGAGAATTGCTTGAACCCAGGAGGTGGAAGTTGTAGTGAGCCAAGATCATGCCACTGTACTCCAGCCTGGGCAACAGAGTGGGACTCCTTCTCAAAAAAAAAAAAAAGTAAGAGTATTTTGATGACAGTTTCAGGTAGGCCCTTGTAAGTATGCTGAATTGACCAATAATTATTGAATAATAGTGGGCCAGTGTTCTGATTGCTTTATGTATATTATAAGCCTATGAAGTTAATAGGTGAACAAACTGAGGCAAAGAGAAGTAAAGTGAGTTACAGGGTTGGAAGCCAGGCATGTTGACCTTGGTCAGTGCTTTTAACAAGTATGCCATACTGTCAGTTTTAGAGTAACTAATACTTCATAAGCTAAAAACTAGTATGTGTTTAATATTATAGTGTTGCATTGTAAATGGGCATAGCAGGACACTAAATTGACTGTTTCCTATTCCTTGATTTCCTATTTCTTGATTTATTGTTCTTGATTAATATAATGTTAACCACCGTTTTTGTGTAACATGTATTCACATAGGCCCTATATTGTTTCACAGCTGCCTCTAGATGTGGTCCTGTTGGCCTTTTTTTTAATTCTTTTTTTAAAGCAGAGTCTCTCTCTGTATTTTTTTTTTTTTTAAAGCAGAGTCTCTCTCTGTCATCCACTCCTAGGCCAGAGTGCAGCAGTGCAGTTATGGCTCACTGCAACCTTGAACTGTTGGGTTCAAATGATCCTCCTGAGTAGCTGGAACTGCAGTCACGTGCCATCACGCTTGGCTTTTTGTGGGGTTTTTTTGGTTTTTGTTTTTATAAAGATGGGATCTTGCTATGTTGGGCAGGCTGGCCTCAAGCAAGTCTCCTGCCTTGACCTTCTGAAGTGCTGTGATTATAGGCATGAGCAACCATGCTGGGCCTCTAGATCTTTTCTGTGCCAAATGTAGTGCAGACCAGAAGCATCTACATTACCTAGAAGCTTCTTAGGAATGCAGAACCTTAGGCCCCATGGGGCAGAAATCCTGCATCTGACTCTGCATTTTAACCAGATTCCCAAGCATTAAAATATACATTTAATTTTGAGAAGCTTTGCTCTAGATAGTGTCTTACCTATTTTCCCCCAGTTCAAGAATCTCCAGATTCTTTTGTGATGTGTACTGGGGATAAAGTAGTTAGGTGGTAAATGGAGTAAAAATGGTACCATAGGGAAGGGCTGAACACATTTAGATTTTGGGGCCTTAATAATCTGAGGCTTGAGGTATTAAAGGTAGGTTAGCATTCAGTGAGATCAAAAGGAGAATAGTCCATTCTGAGATCCAGATTTTCCATTTCCACATCTGTAACTGAGGTAGAATTTATTCTCAAAGCCATAGAAATGTTTAGGGGCAAAGAGCTTGTACTCTAGCACCCCCCATCACTGCTAACCTACTAATTGTTTTAATGAGTAGAAATCCACAAAGACAACATATGGATGTCTAAGGATGTCTTGTTTGAGGAGGAAGGAAATGGCTCCTTGGGGGAAATGAAAAAGGGGTAATAGATTTTGGATTTATTCTGACATCAACTTTATATATCTCAATTCAAGGATGGCTCTCAGGTTGTTTTTTATCTTAGTGCTTGGCCTAAGTTGCTGATCAAAGCCAAATTGATCACAAAAACCATGCCTGAATGTCATTGTATTTCACTGTCATTAAAAGCAGACTGCATATTACACTTTTCTTCTAAACCACACCATTCTCATTCTTCTAAAAAAAACTACTTTTTCAGGCCAGGCGCAGTGGCTCACGCCTGTAATCCCAGCATTTTGGGAGGCTGAGGCAGGCGGATCACGAGGTCAGGAGATCAAGACCATCCTGGCTAACACGGTGAAACCCCGTCTCTACTAAAAATACAAAAAAGTAGCCGGGCATGGTGGCAGGCACCTGTAGTCCCAGCTACTTGGGAGGCTGAGGCAGGAGAATGGCGTGAATCCGGGAGGCGGAGCTTGCAGTGAGCCGAGAGCGTGCCACTGCACTCCAGCCTGGGCGACAGAGTGAGACTCTGTCTTAAAAATAAATAAATAAATAAATAACTTTTTCAGCTGGGTGCAGTGGCTCATTGCTGTAATCCCAGCCCAGCACTTTGAGAGGCCGAGGTGCATGGATCACCTGAGGTCAGGAGTTCAAGACCAGCCTGGCCAACATGGTGAAACCCTGTCTCTACTAAAAATAGAAAAAATTAGCCAGGCGTGGTGGTGCGCGCCTGTAGTCCCAGCTACTTGGGAGGCTGAGGCAGGAGAATTGCTTGAACCTGGGAAGCAGAGGTTGCATTGAGCCAAAATCGCACCACTGCACTCCAGCCTGGGTGATAGAGCGAGACTTTGTCTCAAAACAAAAATAAAAGAAACCTACTTTTTCTACTAATGGTTTTTAACATTGTTTTGTTTAGATGTCTAAATGAGTGGGTATAGGATGGGCAAGAAAGAACAGAAAAAAAATTTAAGTGACAATTCTTTGCAGTTTCAAGGAATTACATTTCTATATATTGTGGAGTTTTACTCTAAGAACTTATTTCCGTGGCTTTTTAAAGATTCTTTGCAGTCTGTCTACAGTAAGTGTAAATTCTTGAAATTTTTTTTTGTCCCCGTAGCATGAATGTCAGCATCATCATTCAAAGAACAAGAAACATTCTAAGAAATCTAAAAAACATCATAGGAAACGTTCCCGCTCTCGATCGGTAAAGGAATTTATTGTACCAAGAGTGTATTAAAGTTATGGCACCATGAGTGTATTAAAATGTTAGCATTATTATGAATGAAATTATTTGTGTTTTTTAGGGGTCAGATTCAGATGATGATGATAGCCATTCAAAGAAAAAAAGACAACGATCAGAGTCTCGTTCTGCTTCAGAACATTCTTCTAGTGCAGAGTCTGGTGAGCATTTCTGTTTATTTGATTAAATCATTTATACTGATATACTCAAATTCTGACACTTTTGTTTTCCTTTTATGCTGCTCAGAGAGAAGTTACAAAAAGTCAAAAAAGCATAAGAAGAAAAGTAAGAAGAGGAGACATAAATCTGTAAGCAAGCTTCTAATTTTTACATTTCACCTAGGCTTTTGCCCTTAACTTCCTCAGAGATCATAGAACCTTTTTCTATCTAATTCTCTGCAGCCCAGGACAGTTCAGGTGGGCACATTGTTGTTGCTCTTAACCTTGATCTTCCATTAAAATCATTTGGTGAGCTTTGAAAAAATACACACACCAGTGTTAGGATCCCCATCCCGGTCTTTAAAATTAATCTTCTAGAAAAGAGACTCTTGTGAGTGCATGTGTCTCTGTGTATGTATGTATATTTGTGTGTATATGTAGACTGAAGCTGTTGTTGAGAACCACAAGTTTAAAACAACCACTCCTCTACGCTTGTAGGTCTTAATCTTAGGTGTACATTAGGATCCACCTAAGGAGCTTTTTCAAAATGTGAAGGCGTGGGTATCACCACAAACCTGTTGAGTTACATTTTTTTTTTATTTGAATTTGTGTGTATCTAATGAAGAGCCATTCATTTAAGCACTGACATTAAATTTTAAATAATTCCTACTCAGCAATTTCAAGAAAATTTTATTAATACAGCTGTCTGCCTTATGTGTTAAAGCTAACAGCAATATCCTAGGTACATGTATAAACCAGTATTATACTGAGTTGGTGAAAAATGTAATATGTCTCTGTATTTACATAATAGATATTACACATCTGATGTGGTAGTAAGTCTCATGGGTGGTATTTTATCCTGTTAGAATATTATCCTTCCCAAGGGAAGGCTGTCCCCCATGGATCTTGGGTAAATTTTACTTAATCCTTGAGGTTAACAATTCACATTCGCTCTAAGAACACATAGTCTGTTATACGTAGATGTTCTTAAGTATTACTTATATAAGAATTACCTATATAAGAATGGTATCTTCATCAAAATGCTAACCTGTTATTTTCTATTCATTCAGGACTCTCCAGAATCTGATGCTGAGCGAGAGAAGGATAAAAAAGAAAAAGATCGGGAAAGTGAAAAAGACAGAACTAGACAAAGATCAGAATCAAAACACAAATCGCCTAAGAAAAAGACTGGAAAGGATTCTGTAAGTATTTAGAATTGTTTCCTTACCTGTATTTTCAAAATGCAAAAATGGATTCTTTGGTTAAACCATGGTGGTGTTGAAAGAATAGACTTTTCCAAGTGTGCTACAATTGAAGAAAACAGTGAAAATTCAGTTAACTACATTTCACACAATGTGATAGTTTTTGGTCATGAATGATCCTAGATTTGATTCTCCTAAATTTGACATTTTTAAAATATAGCATTTCATAACTGTAGCCTTAACTCACTAAGAAAGGATATGGTCACTAAGGAGTGCCACTGGACATGTTTTACCTAATTCTCAAATTTTTTTTTAAGTGAGAGACTAAATCTGGGATTCTACAGATGTCCGCAGTTGTCACTGTCATTAAATCCTTTGTTTCAAAAAGTAGCAATTCAGTAACTTTTAGAAATACTGATTTGGGTTGGAGAAAGGGCAAAAAAATAGGAGAGGAGAATATAAGCCAAAGTTAATTATTTCAATAACAGATTACATAATTAGTTGTTTTCAAAAATATGTATATATGAATGACAGAGCCTAATAATGCAAATACTGTGGGTTTAGCAAGGGCAAATGCCTATGAATCATCACTGGAGAGCATAAACTATGTAGATAAAACCCTATTAGGGATCTCTGGATATTCTGATTCGTTGGTATAGGGTGGGTTTTTTTTAGAGCTGAAACAGGTGAGTCTGAGTCACATCGTAAGTGAAGAGTGAATGCTTCCTTTGTACTTTTTAGCAGCTTATGGTGGGTTAAATGAAATCCCTGGAGTGAAAGAGGACAATATGTGAACTATCCACTTTTCAAAGGTTGTGTCTCACATATAGTGCAGTATTGTTTTTGTTTGTTCAGCCTAAATCTTGTCCTGTTCATAAGTCTTGTGTATTTATTTGGCACAGGAATTCATATGCTTAAAGCATACTACTTCTGTTTCTGTGATAATACTTCTGGAACCAGGGGGAAGCTACAAAATTAGCAAGGAATAGGCCGGGCGCGGTGGCTCATGCCTGTAATCCTAGCACTTTGGGAGGCCGAGGTGGGCAGATCACGAGGTCAGGAGTTGAGACCAGCCTGGCCAACATGGTGAAACCCTGTCTCTACTAAAAATACAAAAATTAGCTGGGCGTGGTGGCGGACGCTTGTAATCCCAGCTACTCGGGAGGCTGAGGCAGGAGAATTGCTTGAACTGTGAGGCAGAGGTTGCAGTGAGCTGAGATGAGCCTGAGTAACAAGAACAAGACTTGGTCTCCAAAAAAAAAATTAGCAAGGAATATATTCTCTAGGAAATGAATACCTGGCTTCCATTAAATGGAAATACTGTTTCATATTCACACAGTCTTTATACTCTGTGAAATGTGTTTCTTTGGAAGAGAATTTATATAGATACTGGATTCTTTTTTCACAGGCTCAGCCCTTAAACCTCTGAGTACTGATGTCAACTATAATTGTAATCAATGTCTTTTCAGGGTAATTGGGATACTTCTGGCAGTGAACTGAGTGAAGGGGAATTGGAAAAGCGCAGAAGAACCCTTTTGGAGCAACTGGATGATGATCAATAAATTATACCAAATATATGTTTACAGTATGATTTAAAGTCTGATTCAGACCAGGGACTCTATTTTAAGTTCAACTGAAGTAACACTGGGTTTTAATTATATCACAGGAAAAAAAAAAGTGCATTTAAGTATTGTTATCGTGGACTTTATAAAAGCAAAGGAAATTGAAAATAACTTTTGATTCTGTATCAAGAATCATATTTTCATACAGTCATAACTGTCTTTCTGTGACCCTTTCACAGGGCACTGTAGGATGGATTAAAGGTGGCAATTTACTGATAACTGCAGATGTCTCTACTTTGTTCTAAAATCTAAGTCATGAGGTGATTTGATTTACTTTATAGAAGCTGGATTTTGAAGATATAATGAAAAATTTTTTGATAATATAGTAGTACAAAAAAAGCACCAGCAACTGATAAAACTGCTTTTTTGTGCACTACCCAACTGGTTACAGCCAATGTGATCTTTTATGGCGAAACTCCTAAGAAATAGGTGGTTTTGCTGGAAACTTGGTAGACCCTTAATTATAGTGGTGCTAATGAGCACTACTGTAATATAAAGCCACCATTATTTTTTATCAAACATCTGAATACATTTTACAAAGGCTATTGTGAGGGCATTATTTTGAGCATCTATTTTGAGGTGATGTTTAAAAAAAACTTTAACATCAAATTGTAAATTAATTTAAATATATTGCCTTAAGGACCTACTAAAGAATGTGCCACCAGACTTTAAGTGATAGTTGCAATATCCTTGTCTAAAAAAAAAAAAAAAAGTTGACTTAAACATTTTCTTTAACAGTTGTCTTTTTTTTCTAAATTCAGTCTTTCTCTTGCTTTTTTCCCCCGCTATTGAGGAAGTATTTTGCCTTCCCTACTCACTGAGAAGTATTGACTTCGTGGTACACATTCTAAAGCATTTCTGATTTGAATATTTTTGTACATTTTTATCAATTATTAAACCTTCTCTTCTAGTGTGTACTAGTATTTATTTCTACTTAAACTGCTCAGCTCTAAAGAAATTGTATGATCATTTTAAAGGTACTAAATCCCTGAAATTTTGCTTCATCTTACCCACACAGCTAGTTTACTTTCCTTTTTTAATATTTAAGAATATTATAAATCAGTGCATTTGAGGTCCCTAGATTTGTTTTTCACCTATGAATTTTTTACAGACTATTTTAGAGAGGCAATGGTTTGAAGACAGAATACTCTACATGCTAACTTCTGAAGGTTGGTAATGTAATTTATACTATTTTCCTTCAGTGCAGGAGATTTTTTAAGTAAATAAGTAAATTTTAGCACCTATTCTTTGGTATTATCTGTGTTATTCTTTTAATGTGTACACTTGAAGAGATTCTATTTCAAGTTGGGATTTAGAAGAACAAAAAGTTTTTTTTCTTAACTATCCTAGTGAGTTTTGAAAGTGGACTTGACCAGAATGTGTCTTTCCCATTTTGCCCCCGTTTGAATTAAATATAATGTCTACTTTTTAAAGGCTGAAGGGGTGGGCGAGGGGATTGTTTCTCATTTTGTCTCCCAAGTCATTTTTCTGCTAAGAAATATGACCAGGCTTTGAATAGGAAGACTCATCTTGGAGAAAATGTGAAGTAATCAAATTGCTTGCTTGAGATTAATCTCCTATTTGTATATTAGAGCCAAAACACATAACAACTTTGGCAACAGGGAATTGTCTAGACTCAATTTTCAGAGGTCCCGTTGTAGTGAGTTAATACTGCTAATCATGTCAATCACTTGACATGGAAGTCAGTGGCAAATCTTTAAAGTATGCATTTGATATTGGCAAATATATACTAGTGATGTTTCACAAAAGAATTTTAGAATATGTAAAAAACATTGTTTTAATTACATCCATGAATGATTTCTAAAGTACAGCTTTAAAGTTTTGATTTTTCTATTTAAATAAAAAGCTATTGATGTGTTTTAGCATGTCCTCAAAATAGATTCCTGTATTTCTTACAGAGATAATCTTACTATAACCGCAAATCCCTACAACACAATATAAAGTTTCCCTGTAGTTCACCCATGAAAATTATTTGACTTAAAAACAACCATAGTAGTAAACAAATTGCAATTCAAAATGCAACATCCTTGCCATAAAAGATGTAATTTAAGTGACTGTGATCCTTTGTCTCCCTTTCAGGATCCCATCAAATGGGATTTAGTTGCCAGAAAGATACTTGACAGTCTGAAGGTACAGGTGATAAGATTTTGTTCTCTGTGAATATTTTTAAACTAATAGGTTAAGTTTTTAAATCTTCAGTTTGGTAAAAACTGAAACGTCTTGGAATATTGGTTCTATTAGAGTTAAATATGTTAAAACAGGAAAGTGTGTTTATTTTCAGATAAGGGGAATTTATACTTTTCATTAAAGCCTCAGATTCTTAGGAAAATGTTGAGGGTTTATCTTCCCTCAGTGTCATTAATACTAATGAACTATTAGATCAAATTCACGTATACATTTAATATCATACTTACTCAATATCCGGAATTTAAATATTTTTTTCTCCCAGTTCATATTTCTTTGTGGGAAAATTGAATTTGTATGAAAAGTTAGATAATTTAGCTAATCAAGTGTGAAGTATACACTCTTCCTAACTGAATTAAAACAATGTAATGCTTTTAAATAAAAGCAGTGGTCCCACCACATTTTTTTCAACATAGTAGCTGGCATTTTATTATCATTAGCCAGAGTAGCTTCAGCATATAAATTATTGATGTTTTCCAACTTTAAAAGTGCATTTTATGCCTCCCAGTAAATTTGATAATGATTTGTCACAGCTTTGTCATCTTTTGACTTTTGCTTAACTGGGCCTCATTTCGTACAACTATAATATGAAAAAAGATTGTCCTAAAGTAAGGGAATCAGTTAATGGTAGGATGAAGAAACTGTAAAAACTCCTAAAAAATAAAAATCTGTGTGCATTTTTCTGGAAAGTTTTCAGTTTCAAACTGTGTAATTCAGTTTTCATTCAATTATGTAATTTGATTATATGCTTTAAAAAACATTTGTCTAAATGTTCCCGGTTTTCTTCTGGTCTTACAGTCAGCTGAGTCCTGGCTATGCAGCCACTCATTTTTGCATCCAGAAGGGAGTAACCCCTTTATATGAAGATTGGATTTTTTTTTTTAAGCTTAGATGCTATGTAAGATAAAACTATTTGTAATCACAATAGTACCCAGGGAGGAGTGATGAATGCTTGCTTAAAAAAGGGATATTTAAGTATATTATGTAACTTAAATATAAATTATAAAACTAAAAAACTTCAGCTTTTAAAACGGTTTCTAAACAAAATGAAGCAAAGTACATTAATGCCTTCTATCTTAAATCTGAGACTTTATTTTCCCTTGGGTATATATTTCTCTCAGTGTTAGGTAGATTTTAATTCAACCATTCTACATTCTCTACATAAAGTTACACTCATTTTACATGAAAGCAAAATAATGTCTTTACTTTCATGGAACTGTGTTCTAACAGGCTTATAATCTCATTCTGTGCTTTTGGTAATGGCGTATACCAGTCTGATGATTCTTACCATCTTTATTCTTACATTACTCTTCCAATTGTTTCGACTTAACTGGTGGTCATGTAAGTTCCTCGGTGGCAGGGATTTGTCTGGTTCACTTACTGTTATATATCCTTGTGGAATAGGACAGTGCCTGGCACATAATAGGCACTTTGGGAATGAATGTAAAATACTAGTTGAAATATGTATTCATCTGGCATCCATGGTACCCATCATCTGTATTAAAGGGCTTATAAAAGCATCATTGCAATAAACCATACTAACCCACCACTAAAGTCACGGTCATAATTGAAGTGCACCTAAAATAAGGTCCTGTGACTGTACCTTAGCTTTTACTTCAGACATGTCCAAAACTTGTGAGAACATACAATTTAAAGTTGAAAATAATCATTTTGGGCTATTTTTGAATAGGGCTGAAATATGGTGACATGTCAGGCGCTCAGTTTTTTGGAGCTGTCTTTAAGGTGAGGTGGAAAGTGAGAGATGATTTTGCTCTAATTACCCATACATTCTCCCTAACCCTCCATTTTAAGAAACTTAGGTATAATAGCTTCTCTGCTTTTTAAACTTGCCATATAAAGACTATCAAAACTGTTCTGTGATTCTCAGTAGGATCTAGTTCAAGGCCATCTCAGTGCTAGTGATTGGTAATTGTTAATTTGATGGTAATTACCCTACTTGTAAAGTTGACATTCATACTGGCTAATCCTCCCTGCCCCTAGTCATGGCCAATGAAAACATTGAGTGGCTGGCGAATTAGATCAGATTCAAACTAAGCCATTCCTGGATGCTATTCTTCACTACTGTTCCTTAGGGTATCTAAATGTGTTATTTATAAATATTTTTGGGGGCTCCTGCCTGCAAACTTCGGTAGGTGTTGGTCTTCCCCACCTCTACAACTGAGCCAAGGACTTGTTCTGAAAGGTGAGTAATAAGGGAACAAGGTTTCTATTTTCTGTGTTTGTAATTACCAGATTTTCACCTCTGTTTATATATTATTCTGATGTAAAAGAACCTCATAGTTATATAAAATTAGACCTTTTGTAAATAAATATAATTTATTAGAAAAAGTGGCATCTTTTACTAAATTGGATTTGTGTCAGTTTTTTCCTTTGAGCACCACTCAGGCAGCAAGCTCTATGCTGTGAGAGTTGCTAGAGGCCCATGTTATATTTTCTCAGTGTAATTCCTCTTTTTCTTGATAAAAAGACTTAAAAAAACAAAAACCCATCACTTCTTTCACGTACATGTTTGTTTCTTGGGCATAGATGGGCTAGTAGTTTAAAAAGAAATGGAAAACATCCTTTTGACGAAATCTGATAAATTCATCTTTGGAGACATTTCTGATAAAAATTAGGAAATACATTAGGACTAAGAGGAGTTTTATCAAACATTAAAATAGGTATGTGTGGCTGGGCGCAACAGCTTGTGCCTGTAATCCCAACACTTGGGGAGGACGAGGCAGGCAGATCACTTGAGCTCAGAAGTTTGAAACCAGGCTGGGCAACATGGCAAAACCCTGTTTCTACAAAAATTAGCCAGGTGTGGTTGTGCGTGTCTATAGTCCCAGCTACTCGGGAGGCTGAAGTGCGAGGATGGCTTGAGCCCGAGAGGCAGAGGTTACCCTGAGCCAGGATTGCACCACTGCATTCCATCCTGGGTGATAGAGCCAGACCTTGTCTAACAAACAACAAAATGTGGATTATGGAGCTAGTATAAGTGTATCTGTTTTCCAGTGTAAGATCACCTCATTCTACAGAGATGATTCCAGTATGTTGAACCAAAGCAGAGTCAGTGATGGATATCAAGCCCCATTCTATTGAGAGCAGAGTTGAGTCAGGATGGTCACTGGGCATTGCAGTGAATTTTAGTGTTACATGATAGGGAGTGGGGAACGTGAGTATTTAATTCAAAGTCATTGGTAAATACCTTTTAAAAGATGAATGTTACTTTCTCTGCCTCATTTGAACTTACTGCTATAGTTGAGTTTGAAAACATTCTGAATTTGTGGAATATTAAAAGATTTTTCTTTTACCATTAGGCACCAGTCTGATAGTAAAACAAATGAGATCCTTACTGATTGCAGAACTTAATTTTTTGTCTTTCATAAAATAAAGCTTTTAACACATTTCATAACTGGTTTAGTGGAAGGTGCACTGAATTGGGAACAAAAGACCTAAGGCTTTATTATAGGCAATTATTAGATTGCACCCTGGGCAAGTCAGTTTCCCAACATGCACAACAGTGTTAAATATCTCACAGGCTTCTTGTGAGGAATAAAGATTATTGCCTTTAATCTGTAAGCAGCTATGTGTGACAAATGACAAATGCAAAGTACGCTGTGGTGGTTGTGACACTAATTATATAAATTATAATACTTCCTTAAATGACTATAATTTATATGTCTATAAATTTAAGCCACTTGAAAGGTATTCTAAAATTTAAAATTTTCCTTGTTTCCATAAAAAGAACATGAAATGTTATGCATAAACTTTTGATGACTGGGAGTTTTCTTACAACTGTCAGTCCATTTGTGCAATGGGGGCCAAACTGCTTGTGCACCTTGCCAACTGGTATGGTTGTTGGGTGCAGTGTTAACTATGCAGTTCATATATAGCCTATTATCTTTATTTGTACAACATCCTAATTGAAACATTTGGTGGGACCGCTGGGGGGTTGTGGCATTTCATCAAACAAAGGTGCTGTTTCCCCAGAAGCTGTATGTTTATAAATAATACAATTTTGGAGATGTAGTTTCATTTCCAAGATCCATTTTCTATGTTTTATATAGCAAGTGGTCACGATTTCACATAGGGAGGAATCCTACCTGAAGTTTACCAAGTGTATTTGGATTCTGAGTTCAAATAGCAAGATAGATAGATATATGTGTTTCTAGAAGGTAAGTCTACATAATATTGCTAAAACCCCTTAAATTGTACCATTGAAAGATTATGACATATTACAGAATAGTAGTGTAAATAGTTTATTTGCTCATATGCCATGAAAAGACCAGAAAAGTAACATGAATTGCTTTTATAAAACATTCTAATATTGCTAAGAAGCAGGCCCATTAATAGACAAACAGAAAAGAACATGCCAACGTTGTCTATTTGTAGATGAATAAATAGGCAGTTATTTTAACATATATGTCAGCATTGAACTTTGGAAAACAGCTGCTTTGTAGTGGAAGTCCAACTTGGTCAAATTGCTATTTTTAATCAAAGTGAATGTTCAGTCCACAGAAAGACAAAATCTTGGCATGTTCTTTTTAAAGTACACATTTATGGGAATGTGCCTGCAGGTGGCAGTTTAATCTTTCTGTAAATAGGTACACTAAAGTGAAATGTGGTAACTTGTTCCCTAAACTGTCCTTGTAGTTAAATATATATATTAAAAAAAACTATAAGTTAAAATAACATTCAGATTGTATAGCATAGGCTGATGCATTTTAAAACAATATTTACAATATTACCCAGAGGCTTAGGTGGGAATTAAAGAGAAGTGTAAAAACCATAAAAAACTGCACCAATTTTATAGCAAAATATCTGTACATTTAAAAAGATCATATAACTACACATCCAAGGAAAAGGGACCTTCACCAAGGGGTTCACATAAGCACAACATAAAATAGGAACTTCAGCGGTTAAATACTATACAATAAACTTTACAATTAATATATTGATGTACCAAGAAGATAAGCCAGAAGCAGAATGTATATTATGAAAAGTACAAATTTAGCTTCAGTCCAGTTTTTGACTTTGGAATGGATCAAGTGCCCTGCCAGAGAGGAAGGAAAAATAACAGTGGCTTAGTGAGCCATTTAGTCCCATTACATATTATTTAAGCTTAATACCATGTTAGTACTTTTTAGCAACTTAAACTGCAATTCCCCGTAAGTAGTCTGGGAAATGCATGAACAAGTTAGCCTTGATAGACGATGCCAAGTGTATCTTCTCCAATTTACAGAAAATAAGAAAAAATTGCGATTGTCAGAGGAGAATAAGGCCAGGTTCCTAATACTACTCTGCTAGCAGATGTAACCTTGAATGCTTATTAATAGAGCTAGTAAACTTCTTCCTTGCAAGGCACCAATTTCTGTTCTCAGAATTAATAATGGTCCTCAGAAATGCTAATACTGATTACTGAGATGTTAATTTTAGTGCTAATAAATACACTTGCATTATTTAAAAGCTGCCTCTAGCTGAAGAACACAGTACTACAAATAAGTCTTATACATTATATCCCCACATTCATACCGGTGAATGCTTCTCACAGAGCATCGTTCTCTAGCACAGAAGTAGTAGAATGTGAAACTGGAAACAAAGGGTTAAGTGACCTTTGTGCCACTGCAATTGCATCCTGTTTGCACTTTGCCAGGGCCTGGTTATAGACACAAGGAGTCTCATCATG